ACGAAGGTGCTTTAATATTATATATCTTAAAACTAGTTTAAGATAACTTTATAGGTTAGGACTTAAAATCATATTCTCAACGGCTAAAATTCAGTCAAAAATGAATTTTTTCTCGTAATGTTCATTTTTTGAAAAGTGGTCAGAAAATGGAATTTATTTTTAAATAACCAATATGTAACAAATAGGCAAAAAATGATTATATAAATGAATGTAAAAAAAATTGCAACTATATTAGATTTCTCTCATGGAAACTAGAATTCACAACCAGGAAACAAATTCCCCGTTAACATTTTGACAAAGTGCATTTTCACGATGTTTACGTGGACAAAAATGGCACATCTATCAACAGATGAGACCAAAGACTTGCTCGGTGTCTCAACCTTGCCTGCTTTCCTAACAGGGACGACACGACGATGCGTGCAAAAATATTTTTAATTCCCAAACGCTATTTTTACACTCTTCAATAAAAAGGCTCTCATGCCTTCGGTTGTTGAAACCCCCTCATCTATTCCCAGGCGAGAACTGACGCTGGATTCAGGCTTTACGGAACCTTCATTGAGGCTTGGTCAACATTGATCAAGCCTTGGTGGGACGGCGGAACGAAGGTTGCTTCTAGCTATAATGTAACACTTATTTAAGACTGACGCTCCAGTCTTTGTTGTAGATTGGCGTTCAATGTTCAATCAATGCTGCGGAACCCTATAATGCAGGACTGAAACAAGGCTGCTTCCACTGTTCCCAAATTTACGCCTCTCTCGCGCTCATTCAATATAATATGAATATATGAATTGTATATAATAATAATATTTTAATAATAATAATAATAATTATTATTATTATAATAGTAATGAATATTATTGATATTATTTTTATTCATGTTATATGCGTTTGTTTGGAAATAAGTTACTATTATAATAATTATATTATTTTCATATAAATAATATATTACTAACAATAAATGTCATTTGAAATAGTAATATTAAAAAAATAATTTTAGTAAAAAAAGACAATTTTTCTGTTAATCGATACATTTTTTTCTCTATTTTTTAGCAGACTTCTTAACACTATTTACAAACATGTTCACAAGTTTTTATTCACACAACACAACACACAATTTTATTATTTTATATAACGCTTAAAACAAAGAATGAAAAATATTCGCTCGCATGTGGGATCGAACTCACGACTCCCACCCCCCTAACGCATACCGGAAGTATTCAACGCACGCATTTAACCGCTCGGCCACAGAAGGCTGGAAGGCACCTCGCCTAATCTACTATTTCAATGCCAGCGCCGTATATTCTGTATATACGGCGCGTCACTCAATATTTGTTCAGCATGGGACACCAATGTTCGTCCCATGCTCGATTAAAGACTCGGTCAATCTTGATACAATATTCACTTTCTTTTTATTACCGTGTGCACTGAACAATATTAAATATTAATATTTATAAATTATTTATTATTAAAATATTTTTTATGACAATTTTATAAGTTAAATTATATATATTATTTTTTATCTTGTTCAGTGTCAAATTATTATTTTCAAAGTTTAAGAGTTTCGTTTATCTGAAAAATTATTAGTGAAAAAAATGTTCATTAGGTAGTAATAAATATTTATGCTTAGTAGTTTTACACTAGGATTAACTGTTTAGTAAATATTATCAAAAAACTATTTTCTGTCAAACGCGCGCGACTAAACACAAATAACCTTGAAACTCCAGCATTACCAACTCAACACATACGTTAAACTCTTAAGTTGGCAATGCTAAAGTCTCAAGGTCATTTGTGTTTAATCGCACGCGTTTGACAAAAAATAGTTTTTTGATAATACATATTTACTAAACAGTTAATCCTAGTGTAAAACTACTAGGCATAAATATTTATTACACCCTAAATGAACATTTTTTTCACTAAAAATTTTTCAGACAAACGAAACTCTTGAACTTTGAAAACAATTATTTGACACTGTGCAAGAAAAAAATAATAATGTATAGGTAATTTAACTTTATTTATATAAATCTTATAATAATTAATAATAATAATAATAATAATTATTATTATTATTATTATTATTATAAAAAAAATAATATTTAATATTTATTTTTAATTTAATATTTTTTTATAATAATAATTATTATTATTATTATTATTATTAATAATAAATTAATAATTAATATAAATAATATACACTAAATAAATATTAATATTTATTTACCAATTGATATCTTAATAATAATAATAATTAATAATAATTTTTAAATAGTATACAAAATTATCATAAAAAATATTTTAATATTAATTAATTTATAAATATTTATATTTAATATTTTTAAGTGCACACGTCAATAAATAAACTGTCAAGATTGATTCAGGCTTGAATTAAGATCAGATGTTTGAGCTTCACTCACGAAGATTGACCGAGTCTTGAATCGAGCATGGAACGAACATTGGTGTCCAAAGCTGAATCAACATTGAGTGACAGTGGTATAAAGACTGTTTCAACACTGGGTTACCCAGGCTGGGCGTTCAAGGCTCAATAAATCTTCAATCCATCGTCAGCATTGGTCTTTCGCGCCTGGGTTCTATTTAACCCATCAGTTCCTATTTGACGCGAGATAAGCTTGTGAGATATGAAAAAAAAATAAAACGCTATTTTTTGTTATACGAAATTTAACCCTAAAAGAAGTTTCGTTTTCATTTTTGCTTCTTTTTTATTTGAGAGGGAATTTTTATCAGTATTTGAAAAAAGTCGAATATAACATTCCATTTATCGCAGTATTCGCACGCTTTCTATATATGGTATCTTATCGAATTGATCTTTATACAACAATATATGTGAACGATGATTAATTGTTTTCATAAAACAATAGGGATGGTCTTTCGAGAGGTGTAAAGACAAATTGGGTTATAAAATTATAACAAGATGCCATAACAAGACATCGAAGTGCTCTCTCTTTTCAACCATATAGCCAAAGGGAGAATTAGAATATAAAAAAAGGAGTTAGAAAACCGTGGGAAGAAGCTGAGATCTTATTAGGCGAATCAGGACATTATAGATGGGAAAGCTTTTTGTATACAACTTAAAAGGGTGTGTCTTACTTTGAATATAAATATGGAATTTATCGAATCTTTTATTTTATGTATTTCGTATTAAAAACCCAAAAATAACATTTACAAGATTCCACGTTCTTTATCCTAAGATGTCCTGCATTTTAAAAATCTTTGGAACACTTTTTTTTTTGTCAAAAAAAAAAAAGTGTTCCAAAGATTTTTAAAATGCAGGACATCTTATATAGGATAAAGAAGGCAATTCTTTATTCCTGATGCTAAACACGATTTTCAATGTAAATAATTCTCATCACCCTGTGTGCGTAAACATTTATAGAATAAGATATGTGTTTATACACCGAGAACAGAGAGGATTTAAACTTTTAAACAAGTGCTATGCCGTCTTATGCTTATATTTCTGGTACAACCAAGGTACAACAAAAGTCGCATTTAAATCCGTTAAATAAAGGTTTTACTGATTTTTAATTTTAATTTTATTCAACTGACTTTATTTTAACTATTCAAATCCGGACTATTTTTAAATATTAAAATTTTCGCTAGTCATAACTTTAGGACTTAAAATCATATTCTCAAGGCTAAAATATTCAGTCAAAAATGAATTTTTGCTCGTAATGTTCATTTTATGAACAATTTTAGTCAAAAGTGGTCAGAAAGTAAAAAATTATTCTTTGCAGTGAAACCCTAGCGTCTTATAACAAAAATATTTGAAATATACCCTATTTTTAATCTTAAAACCAGATGAAGGTATACCTTTAGGTTTTAAATACTCTTCAGGCTAAGATTCAGTCAAAAATGGTACTAAACATTATTGTAAACGATTTTAGTCAAAAATGATCAGAAAGCAAGAATTATTTTTTACACCGAACCCTTTAAATTATTCTAAAATGAAAATGATGGAACAGTACAAATTTACAAATTTTATATTCGGATTTCAGTTTTCTACTATAAAACTCTTTAAACAACTATACAAGTTTTACCATTTTTCGTTTTTACCTCAAACTTTTAATATTTTTTTAATCTTTGCTTTTCAGTATAGATTTGCTTTTATTATTTCATGCATAAAGGATCAATATAATATTTTTCGCACTTTTCGCTTATGTAAGGTGATTTTTAATAATCAATTTTCTCGCAAATAATTACAATCCATTGAATTCTTTATTTTAATATTGGAGTCAGTTATTTTATAACAATGTTGCGTAAGGTAATTAAATTTAATGAAAGATTGAAATCATTTTAGCCTTGAAGGACTAATTAATAAAATTAAATTCGCTAAATAATGTTCTGTTAAGAATTAAGTAAAAATTGAAAATATCAAGTACAAAACAAAAGTAAGCTTATCACAAAAATATTACTTTATATATTAAAAATTATTTTCGACAAGTGATAACTTTGACCATTGCTCTTTTCCTCTTTTTAAGAAAACATTCTTAATTGTCAACTTAGAATAGTTTATAAATATTTTTTTTTAAACAAAACTTTATATTTAAAATTTAAATATTAAAAATACTTTAAATTAACTACTAGACCTACTTCTAATTAAAATAAGTAATAAAATTATAGATATCCTTCAATTATCGTTTGCTTCAAATCTTCAATATCTTTCATTAATATTCATTAATGTTGCAAATAAACATGTTTCAATGCACTTGACCGTCAAATTATTTAATCAAAATTTGCTTTAATTGAAATCAAGGATAATATTACGATGAGGCTATACATAAAGTGTCTGTGAAAGAGAGAGAGAGAGAGACCCTTTTTTTCATCAAACAAATAAGACCTTATAACACAGACAATAAATACAAATCTCTGAATAAAACCCATGACAAAAAATTAATGTTTTAAATTATTAAAAATTATTAAAAAAAATATTTTGCGAGAAAATTTTACCGGAATCGATAAACTAACATAACTCCAAAAAAAAACCTTACCTTACCCGTGTGATGAATATAATCACGTCCCGGTCAATGATGTTTTATATTCTTCGTTAAAAATTTCCGAACACTTCACTATTCACACACAAAAACAATTTTTTTTTAAACAAGAAATAAGTCTTCTTCCTATCTTCATTTACACGCTTCTTCTTCTTAAAGCACAATTTTTGTATTAACTATAACGGTTGAAGATATTTTTTTTTGTAAAAATTTACACAGAGAGTACTTCATGCTGCAGTGAAACTGATGGGGAAAATGAACCGAGATCATACAAGACTGCGTCCTAATCAGGATCGGACTGAAGAAAACGCAGAGCCCTTGGCTTTGATTTTTTTCTTCTTCATTCTCACTTTATTGGAAAATATTTTTTTTAAAAATTAATTCAATAATTAAAATTGAATTAAAACTAATACTTAATGGGAAACTATACGTAAAATAACATTGTTTTATAAATATTTTTTTTAAATTAAAAATAAAAAATGAAAATAAGAATCGTGACGTCAAGTTATGAGGGTATCGAATAACAAGGCTCCCGTTTGTAATTTAAACCCTCTATAGTTTCATTGAGTATAATTAAAATTATTAATATAAATATAAATTAATATAAAATTATTATTAATTATGTTTTTTTAAACATAAAGAACATGTGGGAAAAGTTCTACATTATTTTATTCCAATTACTTTTTAGTAATTGAAGCCCTAGCGGGAGCAACTAAAAACTTCCATTAGTAAGAAAAAGATAGACATATCTCTGTCCTTTTTTTACTAACCAAAGTTTAGTTAGTCTTATCGCCACCAGGAGCCTTACCGGATCTAGACAAATTAAATTCCAACCTAAAAATTTTCACTAAATTGCAAAAAAAAAAATAAATTTTTTAAATAAAAATCGCATAAATAATAACAGTGTTTATAAATTATTATAAAACTACCCCACCCAGAAAAATTCGATTTTTTTCTGAGCGGGGCGAAAAATTCCAACTAGCCGCTCTTGATGAAAGAGCCTCCCTCTTGAAAGGGAGGGGCCTTGAAACTTTGAAAGATTCCCGCGCAAAATATTCAAAAGCCGATTTCTAAAATTCAGCAAACCGAAAAATTATTTTAAACAAATTATAAGAAGCTTTATAAAAAATTAATAAAATAATTTACAATATTATTCATAATACTTAATAAAAATAAATTTATGATATTGCAGGAAATCGACGAAAGAAGTGGATTATGAAAAAGAGAATCTAAATTTTAGAAATTGCTTTATAAAAATAGATTTACAAACAAAATCGTATTTGTTTTAAACTTACATTAACTAAGGTACTTAGTGAATTATATTATTAATATTTTTATACATTTAACAAATTATGAAAATTACTTGAAATCCTTCATGGCGGGTGTCATACCCATGAAAAGTTCCTCCATCTGATGTCGCTGTTCGTCAGTCTTCAAGTTCTTCCATATCTCGTTAAGTTTCTTTTGTTGATGTTTCTGCAGACATTTTTTTTGTAAAATTAAATTAATTACATTGAAGACAAAAATTTTAGTCCTAACTTTGCAGCATTTTTTACATTCTCATTTAATTAAAAAGAATATAAGAAAAAGAAATTTCAGTGCAAAAATTAAGTATCTTAAAATGACTTAAAACATCTTATATAAGATGTATTAAGGTCATGTTATTCAGTGGTCACGTGTTCCCATAGTAAAGTATATGGAGCACGTGACCACTAAATAACATGACCTTAAGTAACTTTGCAGTCACTTTTGAGATACTTTTGAGATACTTTTAAGATACTTCTTACAGATTTCGAAAAATTAACTGCAATTTGAAAAAAAAATTTAATTACTTTAACAAACAGGAAACAATGTCTGAGTGTTGCTCCAACGTATAAAATTTTCACGTCCACCGTCTGATCACCAATTTTATTAATTTTTGGAACGGAAGTAAGTAAAAATTTATGCGGTCCATGTCGAACTTTAACGAGAGCAATTCCTGTTTGTGTGTTGCAATATTTTGCTAGAAGAAAAATTTTTAACAAATTTAAAATTTTTTAAATTTTAATAAATTGCTCCCTTGAAGCCCTTTAAGGCTTATAGAGCTTAAAGTGAATTAAATATTAAGCAGAAAATATAATTGACAATAACTCAGTAATTACCGTTAAATCCGGCATTTATTGCAGCTTGTCCCAAATCACCATAATCATGATGCACTTGTTTTTGAATAGCGTGATGCAATCCGGTTGTTTTTAATATCAGTGTCTTATTTGGATTAACACTTGATGTTATCTCTAATGTGAAGTACCTGAAGGAAATCAATTATTTACTAACACTTTTAATTAATAATTTCATTACTAAATTTAAATTAATTTTCAAAACAGCATAATAAAATAAAAATTTTATATTTAACCCCCTGAATTTTATTTTTTTTTAAATACTACCACTATATTTCAAAATAAAAGACAACTCAAAAAAATGAAACAAAACTTCCTTTCTAAGATTATTATTTTGTGAATTTATCACTTGGTAAAAATTATAAAGTTAATATTTTTAAAAAATTATCAAATTAGAAAATAACCTTGTTTAGAAAAAAAGTATTTTAAAAATTCACCTTTATTAGGCAAAAATTTTTTAGAAAATACGTTTTAGAAAAACTGAACTCCAACCTGATAATTTTTTTAAAATATTATAACTAAATAATGACAAAAATTCTATAGTAAATTTAAAACCATTTTATCTATAGTAACTATTTGGAGGTTATGTTTCTATAAGTCGAATATTTATTTGATCGAATGTCCAAAAGTTATCCTTAATTTTACTCAAATTTGAATATTCTATTTATTTCCCCAATACCCAAATAACCGAATGTTAATTTATTCCTCGATTATTTACATTTTTCTCAAATTACCAAAAGTCTGACAAATTACTTCAAATCTAGTTAATAATTTCCATCGAATGTATTTTTTGACACTTCGAACGCTTTTTCTTTGAGAAAAATTTTAATTTTCCCCATTTAAATAAATAAATAATTAAAATATTACCTATTTTTGAACCGGACCATTGTTTCAGCGTTTTTAGGTTAATATCCACCGATGACATTAGTAGCGCATGCGCGAACCGTTGTATAACAGCTGATAACACTGTTGTTTATTATGATTAACACGTGCGCTAATTGTCAATGAAAAATATTTAACCTTTTCCCCCTTTCTCTTTAATTCACGATAAATATAATTATGCGTATATTTAAAGAGAAGATTAGTGCGAAAAAAATTATTAAATTCGAATCAATTGATGAAAGGTTTTTTTTTCTTCATATAAATGTTTTATAAATACTATATTATTATATAAAAACACGTAAGAAAGCGGAAGTAAAGAATATAAAATGTATAAGATTTTGCCACGCAATATAGATTGTAATATGCGGCCTCGTGTTTTTTAAACGACAGAAGAAAAAAATTAAATGTTCAGTCTTATCTATCATTCGTATTATCCGTCAGTCAGCGTTAGTTTGAGGAGTTGGAAAATTTATCCTAGTAGTAATAAATGATGACAGAATATTTTGTGGGTGTTGACGTGGGTACGGGTAGCGTTAGGGCTGCTCTCATAACCCATGATGGGAAAACAATAAATATCGCTAATCATCCAACGGATACTTTTAATCCCCGACAGGAATTTTACGAACAATCGTCAAATAACATCTGGGACTCGGTTTGCCGGGTTGTAAAAGTAAGTTATTTTTTTCCCATGACCTTATTTTTAATTTTTTTGATAACAAGAGGATGGAAATAATAAATAATTTTTGTTTACAGAAAGTTGTTGCTGACGTTCCAAAAAATAGCGTCAAGGGAATTGGGTTTGCAGCTACTTGTTCTTTGGTGGTTTTGGATAGAAATGGATCACCAGTGACTGTCAGTCAATCTGGTAATATTTTATTTCAAATTTTATTATTGAAAATTAAATTCTAATTTAATAAAATTAGTTATAGTCTTTCTTAATGAGAAGAAGAAGAAGTTTAAGTTGACCAGTTTATTGCAAATAAAAATGTACCACATCAGATAAGATATATTTGCTATCGTAGCTCATAGAATATTCATAAGACATTATACGATTGGAATGATAGTTCATCGAATTTATTATACAATTATTTTCTATCAGGCGATGATAATCGAAATATAATTCTCTGGATGGATCATAGAGCAGAGGAGGAGGCGAAATTTATAAATTCAACTGATCATGAGGTGCTTAAATATGTTGGTGGTAAAATATCATTGGAAATGGAGGCGCCAAAAATGCTTTGGCTGAAGAGAAATTTACCCTCCTCTTGGTCAAGAGCTCAACTTCTTTTTGATTTGCCCGATTTTCTCACATGGAGGGCAACAAATTCAGAATCTCGGTTTGTTCATTTTGATTCTTATATTCTTTGTTGTAATTTCAAAAAACTCTTTCTATTTCCTACTCAATAGGAAACACAACAAGTTCATTAGTTCAGTTTTCCTTTTTGGTTCACTTTCTCGACGGAACTTCATCCTTTAAGATATTATTGTGAGATTAGTTGATATTTATTGAAAACTATTCTTTTGAATAACTTTTCCATTTCTTTTCAGTTCATTGTGTTCATTAGTTTGTAAGTGGAATTATGTTGCAAGTCCTGAAAAGAATGGTTGGGACTTTGATTTTTACACGAGAATTGGACTCGAAGATCTTGCGAAGAATAATTGGAGGCTAATTGGTATATTGGCAAAATAATTATTGCACAACGTTACAATTTTATTATATTGCATATATGTAAAAATAATCATCGGAATTTCGAATTTCAGGTTCAGAAGTGAAGATACCAGGAGAGGCGGTAGGTTCAGGTCTATCGAAACTAGCGGCTAGCGAATTAGATTTACTAGAAGGAACACCAGTCGGAGCGTCAATTATCGACGCTCATGCTGGTGGTTTAGGAATGCTGGGTTGTGATTCACCTGATTATCCCATTGAATTAACAGCTAGACTAGGTACTTTTTTTGCAAAATTAAAAATTTACTCCTCCACTAATAATCGAACTTTAATTTCAAGGTCTAATCTGCGGGACTTCTACCTGCCACATGGCAGTGAGTGAGAAGGAGATTTTTATCCCAGGAGTTTGGGGTCCTTATTACAATGCCATGTTTCCTGACTTATGGCTCAGTGAAGGGGGTCAAAGTGCTACGGGAAAATTGTTGGATCATATTATCGATACACATCCAGCTTCTGCTTTTATTCGCGAACAACTCGAACCAAAAATGTTACTACTTTTTCAAACTTTCTACATAAAGTTTCTACTTTTAGGCCTTTTATAGTTTTTAGCTTTCTAGGTTTCTCTTTAAGGTTTGGTTTAAATTTTCCACCTTTTCTTTTCAGGCACATACAGCAGTATTTATATAATTTAATAAAATTACTAGCGAGGAAGGAAAATCTCTTACACGAATCTCTTTTGACAGAGGATCTACATGTTTGGCCAGACTTTCATGGCAATCGATCTCCCCTAGCTGATTCGACTCTTAGGGGAATGGTAATTAAGTTTCAGAAGAATTGAAACAAAATGTCAATTTCTACCATAGTCTTTGAAATAAAAAATTTTTCAGGTAACAGGACTCTCGCTATCTTGTGACGAGGAGAATTTAGCGAAATTGTATTTGGCAACATTGCAAGCTATCACTGTGAGTGTTTAAATATCTCAAACTTTTAAAAATACATGTTTCTAATTTTTAGAACAAATATTTATTTTAAAACTTGTTGACTCAATTTCAGTATGGAACGAAACATATAATTGAAGCTCTGAATGCATCGGGACATGAAATAAAGGCAATTCTAATATGCGGTGGCTTACGACACAGTGAATTATTTGTACAAACTCAGGCGGACGTTTTGGGATTGCCGGTGCTTATTCCTACAGAAAAGGAACCGGTTATGTTGGGTGCTGCAATTTTAGGTGCTAGCGCTGGAAAATATAGAACTGTTCAAAAAGCCGTCAATGCAATGAAAAGCTCTTCCCGAATTGTCAAACCTAGAGTCGAAACATATCCGTTAGTGGTTTTTTAAGTTACTTTATCTATTAATTTATTAGTTATAAGAATTATAAAGAAAATAAGAAAGAAATGGGATATCTGCTAAATCCCTGAAGATTCCTAATAATCTGCTATCATGGTTTTTTGGTTGGTACCCTATACGGAATTGGGACATTCGAATCTTTCAGTTTCGATCAGGAATGCTCAGACCGAGACTAGATTTTGTTTTAATGCCTTGAAACAAATTTCTTAGTAACAATTTTAAACACCAAACCTCATGGTTCGTTTTGGACATTAAACAGACAGAGGTCTTTATTTGATGCCTTAAAGCAAATTTCTTAGTAACGATTTTAAAAGCCAAACCTCATGGACCATTTTTGGTGTCTCAATGATGAAAACATCATCTGGATCTTGTTTTTTAATTTCTTAGTAACAATTTTAAACGCCAAACTCCATTGATCATTTTTTTGTTATGACTGATTAGGATTGTTCAGGACCTGAATCTCTTTTTAATGCCTTGAAACAAATTTCTTAGTAACAATTTTAAAAGCCAAACCCAATGGATCTTCGTAATTTTTGGAGAAGCTTTAAAAGCCTTGAAGCAAATTTCTTAGTGACAATTGAGGGGCTCCATAGAATAATGGGACGAACACTTGGTTGAAAGGGATAATACCAGTCAGGTAGCAGTGAGCGGCTCAGGGCTTTTCACTGATACTCGATTGATAATATCCCTTCCAAACCTAGCACTCGTCCCCTTATTCTATGGAGTCCCTGAATTTCAAACACCAAACTTTATGGATTTCCATAATTTTTGGAGAATTTTTAAATGCCTTGAAACAAATTTCTTAATATCAATTCTAAAAGCCAAACCCCATGGATCTCCGTAATTTTTGGAGAATTTTCAAATGCCTTGAAACAAATTTCTTAGTAACAATTTTAAAAACCAAACCTCATGGTTAGCTGTATGTTTTGGACATCATCCAGACCGAGGTCCTTATTTGATGTCTGAAAACAATCTTCTTAGTAACGATTTTAAAAACCAAACCCCATGGACTATTTTCGGTCTCCCCTTGATGAAAACATCGTCCAGACGATGATTTTTATTTCGTGTCTTAAAAAGATATCAAAGTAGATTTGATTTTTCCATTGAAGCTTTGTGCAAAAATCGCTTCGACTTTGATATCCCCGTAAATTAAAATTTCTTAGTAACGATTTTAAAAGCCAAACCTCATGGGTCACTTTCTTTATCTCTGCAATGTGTAAATCCTTGCAGAAAGCTTAAAATATAAATCTCGGTATCGAATTTTTCAAGAGGATCGTTTATGAAGATACTGGAGAACACTATTTGACTCCAGAAAATCATCAAAGTTGGTATTTTTCTTCACATATCTTCTTCACACTCAGGAATTATTTGCAATATCGTCCTTTTTTGTTATTTGAACACCTAATCCTGAAAAAATGACTAAAAAATATTAATTTAATAAACATTTACATCTAGTCTTTATCATAGACGATTTTCGGTGTAAAAATTTCGTCGAAAGATCCAAATAACGAAAAACAGATTTGAATTTTTTCAACTTACCTAAAATCATTATTGCCAGGTCCATGGGAAAGGAGGTAGATGAAATATTCTAGTTGATGCTGTATTTCTTGGTAAAAATTAAAAAATTTCTTTCTTTCTCCAAGAAGGAGTATCTGATTATTTCTTTTTTTGGACATATTTAATATCTATATTTTAAGGAAAAATTAACTTTCTCTCAAATTAAAATAAACCCTTTTGGTTTCAGATTCCACTCTCGGAAATACCGAGTCTTTAAAAAAATGGCAAAGGATCAACAAGAGTACAAAAACATAATGAATGACCCACTTTAAAAAAGAAATTTTGCATTAAAAAAATATTCATTGTCAAATGTGACAAATAAGAGTAGAACATAATTTCATGTAAAATGAAAATATATTTTTTTATTCAAAGTATATATAAAATATATATACATTTTATAATCGTAGATTGTATATCAGTTTTTCGTATATAGAATTTAGTTTACACATATTAAACATTGAAATTCATATCTCAAATAATTATTTCATAAATCTCAATGCGAACAATAATTTACTTAACAAACTACTTCAAACAAAGATATATTTGAAGTTTGTTTTAAAACAAACATTAGTGAATTTTTACTGGAAGTCCCAATAGATCGATTTTGATAAGATTCAAAATTTTTTTTTTCTATTTTATGCTTATATAATAAAAAAAAAATTGAAACATTAACTTTTCAGTGAAGTAATTGTAATATACTCGTAACAATAGAGATTAATTCATTGTCAATAATAACATTAATAAAAGTACTTTACATACTAATTTTCTAAACAAAAGCTACTTAAACGAAATTTGAAAGAAAACTTGTTTTGTGCAAAAATTGAAATTTTTAGTAATAAAATTACTATTTTAAAATTTAAATTGCACTTACAAATTTTTGGTGATTATCGTGTGTTAACAACTTTGTGCTTATTTGTGCAACATTTTTTCTATTTGAAATTAAATAAACAAATATAATTATATAAAAAATATTTCTTATACAATTATTATATATTGAAATTTTTTTTTTTATTTTGCCAAACAATAAAAACAAAGTCTTTGAATATAAAACTTTAACGATCTGTTAACATTAATAGAAATGTTTTTTTTTTATTTAGTTTTAAAGGCACTGCATATAATATCATTTTATGGAAATATATATAAAAAAATTGTTTTGGAAGACAATATGTTTTACTCTTCAAACATAATATCAAATTCTCTCTTTCTCTTTTATAATTAAATTACAAACTAAGAGTTCAAGTTTTCGAATACAATCGAAACTCGAATATAATAATATAGCCTCTCTTTTGTCATTATATCTCAAAAAAAAAAAAAAAAAACGGAAGAAATTTTTCATTCAAACTTATATTATTTGAAAATTAATTCCGTTGTGTGTATCAAATTTTTCCTTAATTTTTTATAATAAATTTTATAATTATAAATTTTATCGAAAACTATAAAATTCTAAGTATCTTTATATATAAAGTATTCTAAGTATCTTTATATAAAAAATGAGTAATATTTATAAATTTTGATTGTAATTTCTCGAAAATATAGCAAAAAAGAATTTTTCTTTTATCACTTAGTCTCAATATCTATAAGTTTCTTTTTTTTTTTGTTAACTTAAAATCTTATTATTGCAAATTGATTCGTGCATTTTTTTTTGCACATTTTCTTTGGGGTGTAAAAAGTGAACTAAACTTTAGATAAAAAGGGAAATGAATTTTACGTGAATTTATAGCATTCTGCTATATGATTTAAAATCGTTTGAAAAGGCGAAATACCAAATCTTTGTCTCCAGAGATAATTTGCAATTATATTCTTACCAATTGAACGTGTCGCGTCTTGAACTTCTTCACAGATTTCGATTCCCGTCTGCCAAATTGTTTCTGAAAGAAAATAAATGTAATTTTTGAAAAAAAAAGGTTCTGGCCTTAAATTTAAAAATTAAACACAAAACAAAAGAAGAACATGATTATAAAATTTATAAAATATATATGAAAAATTGATACCTAATGAAGAGGCGAGTTTCAAACCGTTGGTGTCAAATTTTTGCAGATACTCGACACTAATAACGTGATATTGATTTAATTCCTTAACAGATTCATAATTACAGCAACGTGCACGACCATTTGCAACAATGAAACTCCCACGTGCGACATGTTTAACAATTTCACTTAAAGCTTCTTCGACCATTCCGCATTTACTTTTCGTGAATGTATCATTCTCGTCCATTTTCGTAGGCTAAAATTAAACAAAATTAATTTTAAATATCAATGGCTTTACACTCAACAATTAATTTTAAAAAAGCGTCAAAAAGTAGCTTCAATACTGAAAAAAGTACTAAAGAAAAGTAGCTATCGAAAATTAATTTTAACGAATAAAAACCCAAAAATTCTTTTAGTCGATTCACAAAAATTTGATTTAGTATTTCCCTGACTGTTTCCTGATTTCAATCAAAATATTTATTTTTATTCTAATCCTGCTTCTAAATTTTCGAAAAATTCAATTATTTTCAAATAATAGGTATTATATTGCATAATTGAATGTTTAAAAATATTTTCACAAATTAAGGATTGCAGTAAATATACAAATTCACACTCACCACTGGATTGGCTTTTATCATATGCAACCAAATTCGTGGTTGAACAGCAGGAATGCCAAATGAAAGATTTGTTTCGGCAATACATAAAATACTGTGCGAATTATTATTTCGCTTACGATTATTTGTATTGTCAAAAATATTCTCCGTCATATAGCCACCTGGAAATTCGTCCACAATTATTATTGAACCAGGACCACCCAAGAACCATTCCTCCGGATGCTTTTGAACATAACTTTCAACAACTTTATCACATCTTTCGTAAACCTTCTTCACCACATGCTCCTTTATACCTGTTGATTAATAAAAAAAAAGTTAGTAATTTGTCAGCAATACTTAGATAATTATAATAAATAAATTTTTATCAAATAAAAGAATTGATAAAATTGATGAATGAAAAGTTATCAAAAAAAAAAAATTCTTCTTTAAATCTTAACATATAGTTTCTTTTTTGAAATTCTCCGATTACCTAAATTAGCAGCTGTGACTTCGCTAAACTCTTGTTGACACCAGGCTAAAATAACTTGAAGGCATATTTTCAATTCACATTTAATTGTTATAAAAAATGATTTGTCTCTAATTGATTGCACGGCCTTGCAATCGGCACATATCCATTTATATTTATCAATAACTCTAGCTGGCCTCCAAATTAAATTTCGTCCATTGCATTCTTCTTGTGGGCAAGCGACAAAAGTGCGAAGTAAACTCATTTCCCTCAGCCACCCGCATAATTCACCCTCGTGGCCTTGTTGTAACATTGGTTTCACCACAACATCAAAGTATCCACCCTGATCTCCAAAGCGATCAATACTTATGCAATTTCTTTCATGGCTAAAATATTAAATATTAATATTAGTACCTACAAATTTTTTTTTATTAAAAAAAATGAAACCTACCCTAAAATAATTATATAATAAATATAAAAAATATAATATATTAAATATCTATTATATATATATATATATATATATATATATATATATAAATTTTAGGTTATGTTTGATTCATTATTTTCTTTTTCTTTTAGGGAACAAAAACAGCTTTTTCGAAAAAAAGACAATTATACAAAAACAATTTTTTACAGAATATATTTAAAAATATAAATAAATTGCTTACCTTTTTAATTTTTTCTCCGGGTTCATCATCATCATCATTTTTTAATCATATATAAAGTTTCACGAAATTCTTAAATTTGTAACGAAAACTTTTTTTTAAACACAACACAACTTTTGCATTTTCACTTCAAATAACTAAACAAAATGAAAATTAACATTTTTAACGAAAACAAAAAAGTAAAAGAAAAATAAAAACTATTTGTCAACAAGGTTTGTCACATCGCATTCTAATCGCGTCTAATATTTGACAATTGGTACTCTTGTTATTTTGCCAACATAATAAAGAAAAAAAATCAATAAATATAGGCCAATGCACAATGGTTTCGTGGAATATGAGATAGAAAAGGACAACAAAAGGTCTGTCCTTTTCTAACTCATGCTCTTTGCGTTTGCAAACGATTTTCTCTCGAAGCTATTGTGCATTTGGCTTTAGATTCCATTTTAGAAAATTGGACAATTCTGTTTTTGAAAACAGGTAAACTTTTTCTTTTACAATTTTTTTTTTAAAATCAATAATCGAGGCGCATGAAAAAACTCAAATTTTTCATTTATCGAAAAATTCTTTTTATCTAAAATAAGAATTAATTATAATTTCTTTTTATCGAAAAAATAATTGTATTTCTTCTAAATTAAAACTTTACCGAATTGTTACTTCTCATAATTATTATTATATCGAATTAATAGTATTTTTCAAAATTTCTGTAATATCTATATAGTAATTTCTTCTAAATAGTTCAATTATTTTCATGCCTAAATAAAAAATTTTTTTACAAAAATTCAACTATTTTCATAAATAATAAAACTCAATGCTGAATTTCAATTATTTTTAATAAAATTTTAACGGAACTCATCGAAAAGTGTAATTATTCCTAAAACTTTTATTAAAATTCGTCAAAAAAGTACAATTATTTAAAAATTTGTTGATAAAATTCTTTATGAGAATTCAGTTCTTCAATAAATTATTTATTTTTGTATTGAAATAATTGAATTCTAGTTGAATTTTCTAATAATGAAAGATTTAAAAATGAATTCCACTTAAAATTTTAGATTATAATTGAATATTAAAAGCATAGCGTGAATTTTTAGAAATAATTGAATTTTGAAAAGGTTTCTTATTAAAATCTTTGAAAAATTTTAATTTTTCATACTTTTAACAAACAATTCTGTAGAAGAATTAATTTTTTTTAAAAAAGTTTATTTCAATTTTACTTCAAATTATTTTTTTCAAGTTTTTATTTTTTAATAATATATATCTATTTAATACAAGAATTTCCAAATAATTGAAATTTTTTAAAATTGAATTGTAAACAAATGTATTTAAAAATTCTCAAAGAACTTTTTCAAAAAAATATTAAAAATAATGGATTTATAGAAGAATTTTAGTTAAAAACGCGAAAAGAAAATTCAATTTTGGAGAAATTACAAATTATCGCAGAAATTCAATTATTTTTCAAGAGTAATAAAATTCTTCGCAGAAATTTAATTGTGTTCAAAAATAATAAAATTCTTTTTTGGAATTTAATTATTTTCATAAATAATAAAATTCATCGCAGAATTTCAATTATTTTTAATTACAATTTTAATCGAATTTCTCGAAAAATGTAATTATTGTTAAAAATTTTATTAAAAAAAATAAAATTTTTGATTTTGATTTTTGATAAAATTAAAATTTTATCAAAGAAATTCAAGTATTTTAAAAACCTTTACTACAAATTTATTTATTACAATTTAAGTATTATTTTCAATTCATTTTTAATTAAAATTTCTTCAAAGAATTAAATTATTTTCAAAAATTTTAATGAAATTTTTTGTAACAATTCAATTTTTTTAAAAATAATTTTAATAAAATTATTCGTAAAAATTTAATTCATTTCAAAAATTTGTCAAAATTCAATTATTTAAAAATTCAATTTTAATAAAGTCTCAAGAATTCAATTATTTTCAAAAATAATTAAATTTTTCGCACCAATTTCAATTATGTTTAAAAATTTTTTGAAATTCTCGTCAAAATTTTAAATTATCCTTATAAATAATAAAATTCTTCTTTGAAATTCAATTATTTGCCAAAATTTTAATAAAATTCTTGTCATAATTTCAATTATTTTTAATACAATTTTTATTAAATTTCTAAAAATGAAATAATATGAAATTATTCTTAAAAATTTTATTAAAATTTGTCAAGAAAATTCAATTATATTCAAAAATTTGTTGATAAAATTCTTTATGAAAATTCAGTTTTAAGAAACATTGAATTATTCAATAAAATATTTATTTTTATAGTTAAATAATTGAATTCTCGTATAATTTTCTAAATAAATCTAATTTAAAAATGAATTTCAGTTAAAATTTTAGATTATAATAAATTGAATATTGATCGAATAAATTCTTATCGAAATTGACCCAATCAGCTCTGAAATAAAAAAAAATCCGCCATTAGATTATTTTTACCAGTTTCAGAATAAAAATAACTTTTTTATCCAAAGGATACAAAATTCGTCTTGTAGAAAAGTATCCGTCTCCATTGAATCCAGCGCCAAAAATTCTAAAATCAATTCAAAAAGCTAATTTTTCAAAAAAAATAACCCATCAGATTAACACATATTCATGTTTATTATGTAATAATAAAAGTACATATTACATACAAATTAAAAGAAGAAAACAGTAATTCAACACAAGTTGACATTAATTATCGCTAATTATGTTGATTATAGAAAAAAAAATACACAAGACATGTCAATTTGGGTGAAACTGTATGGGAAATATTTTTTTAATATTAAAAAAAAAAATATTCCAGTTTAATGCAAAAAAAATAACTAATACTTAATTATTTATATTATGGCATTCTCTTTAATACCAAAAAAAAAACCTTATTTTCTTCTCAATTTAAAATTATCAAGAAATCGTATTGATTTTCTTTCTCTAAAGAAATAGTAGTTGTTAAAAAAATATCAGGAACGGAAAAATTAATATAGAAATGACAATTTATTAAGAAATTAGTGCAAAAAGTATTTTTTCTTCTAGTTTTCGTAAAAATTTGGTCGGAAATGATGGTTGCAGTTAATTATATATTTTTTTAAGGCAAAAGAATTTGTTTTCTTGTATTATTAAAAATTAATTTTTCTGTCAAATAGAAAAAAAATGTATTTCTACGTTTGCTTTTAATAACTTAATCATTGCCTTTTTTTTTACAAAGGCAATGGTTAAACACCGAGACAATGAAAGGGCCAGATTTTTTTTTTCAATTTTCTTATTTATAATTGAAATCAGAGTTTACCGATTTGAATTTGGGGTGTCCAAAAATTCGACTAACTTGTTGGTGGTGGAGGTGGTGGTGGTTGAGCGAGTAAAGTGGGTAGGGAATTTAAATCGATACCGGGTGGATTGGGGGTTTGTTGTTGAGGTGGCGGTGGTACTGGTGCGGCAGGTGGCCAACCTTGCATTTGCGGCGGTTGCCAAGGTGCAAATCCTGGTGGAGGTGCTGTTCCAGGTGGTGGTGGTCGCATTGGTTGCTGTTGATTTTGTTGCCACGGTGGAATTCCCATTCCTGGCGGTGGCATTTGTGTGGGTGGCATTTGACCAGGAGGCGGTGGTTGATTATTTCCAGGTGCTTGGAAATTGGCTGAGAGAAAAAATGGGGTTAAATTGGAGAACAAAAGTGTCGGGGTTTTTTTTATGATGATGATGATTTTTTGAGTGTGTTTGGAACTTATTCAAGTATTTTGGGGTCCAGCAGATTGTTATGGACATTTTAGTTTGTAAGTTTATCACAAGAATAACCAACTATGGTTCTAAGGTACCTTTCTTCATATCACGTCTCATTTAAAAGGAAACTTACCTGGCATCCAAGGCATGAGGGGTGGAATATTAGGTTGACTGGTGGAGCCAGGAGGAGGTGGTGGCGGTTGCATAACTCCTGGTGGAGGTGGCATACTGACTGGTGGTTGCCACTGCATAGCAATTCCGTTCATGTTATTGACATCGCCCTGGGACCAAGGTGGTGGCGGTGGCGCCATTCCAGGAGGAGGCATCATGGGCCCTCCTTGCATCATCTGAGGCGGGGGATGAGCCGGTGCTGCCATCAGCGCCCTAGGAGCTTGTTGCCTACAATTATTTTCATTTTAGTTTACAAAACACTCGAAATTCTATTCAAATAACTCTATTTATTTTAAATAAAGTCAGAAAATTACAGAATAAAATAAATACCTATCAAAGAGTCCAGGATAATTTGTGCTCGGAATGGAATTATTTTGCCTTTGAGACTTCGATCTGTCGGGTGGTGGACCTTCTCCTAATTCGGCCATCAGTGACATGTATTCCTCGTCGATTTTCGCTTTATCGCCAGCTTGTGCCAAACCTGCAGCAGCTGGACCACCCATTCCAGGACGTTTTGATCTACAATCACGAGCAATGTGACCCGCGCCTCCACAACTTGAGCACACGATATTGTTCGTCACATTCGGCTTATCAGGACACTGTAGGAAAAAAATAACCATCGTTTTGAATCTTGAAAATTCGCTAGATAATTTCATTCATCCACCTTTCACCCTGACCATTAGTAGATTAATTGAATAGGCAGCACGTTAAATATTAAGAAAAAAGCAATGCAATTTTACAAACCAGCCATGATTTATGATCTGAAGCTCCGCAATTTGTGCAACGTGGACCATCATTTTCCCTCAATGTTCCATTTAGCAATGCTAATTCCCTCAATTGATTGCGTCGTAAATCATTCTGACCCTCTGGCACTTCAACTCCTTGTCGAATAATTTCGTGTATCTGCAAAAAAAAATTGTTATTTTTATTTTATTGTTTTCCAATTTACGTCCTTACTAAATGGAAAAAGAAAAATATTCACTTACTCTTTCGACTGCCTTTTTCACCGCGTCCAAATTATTAGCAGTAATGTACGCATGTAAAGGTTCATCTTCACCAGGCAAAGGTTGCCCATCCTTACGTCCAACTTTACCCTCTTTCACACTTCCTTTGCCACGAATTATTATTTTCGCACCCGTTTCTTTTTCCATTGCTAAAATAAAACAGAATTTTTTCTTTCATTCATGTTTTTCCACACTTGAGCCGCTAGAAAGTAATAATTCAGGGTGTCTACTGAAAATATGACTTTAAATTCCAGGACATTTTTAGGACATTCCAGGACAGATTTCTTATTTTTCCAGGATATTTATATGTGTAACAGGGTTGCCACAAAGCAGAATTCTGTTCAAAAATTTTTAAAACTTCTCGTCAAAATTTCAATTATATTTATAAATAATAAAACTCTTCTCCAAAATTCAATTATTTTCAAAAAATTTACTAAAATTCTTGGCCAAATTTCAATTATTTTTAAAAATTTTCCTCATTTCAATTATTTTTGATATCTACAATTTTAATAAAATTTTACAAAAGAATTCTATTATTTAAAAAAATGTTGACAAAATTCTTTGCAAGATTTAGTTCATTAAATTGCAATTTTAATAAAAATTTCCTATACAATTCAATTGTTTTCAATACATTTCTTCTTAAGAATTCAATTATTTTCACAAATAATACATTTTTTATGGAAATTCAATTATTTAAAAGAATTTGAATAAAATTCTTCGCTAAAAATCACTTATTTTCTTTCTTGAGAATTCAATTATTTTCAAAAATTTTCATAAAATGTTTTATAAATTTGAAAAATTATAATAAAATCGGTCATAGAATACAATTATTTTCGTAAAATACAACACTTTTTCTAGAAATACAATTATTGTCAAAAATGTTTGTAAAACTCTTCGAAACAATTCAATTATTTTCGTAAAAAAGTAAAATTCTTCTGAGCAATTCAATTATTTAGGAAATTTTAACAAAATTCTTCCCAAGAATTCAATTTTTTTAAAAATAAACATTTTCACAGGAATTGAATTATTTCAAAAAAAAAAATTTTTTAATTCTTTGTCAGATTTCAATTATTTTCAATTTTTTTTATTGAAATTTCTAGATGGAATTTACTTATTTTTAAAAAGTTTTTAAAAATTCTGAAAAATTCAATTATTTAAAAAAATTTGAATAAAATTCTTCACAAGAAATTAATTATTTTCATCAATAATTTTTTTTTTCTCTGGAATTCAATTATTTTTACAAATAAAATTCTTCACAGAAATTCAATTCTTTAAAAAGATTTTTAATAAAATTTGTTGCAAGAATTCAATTATTTTCATAAATAACAAAACTTATCGCAGAATTTCAATGATTTTTATAAAGTTTTAAATAAAATGATAGAAAATTGCATTTATTCTTACAACTAGCCAAACTATCCGCGCGCAAGCGCGCGGGAATGTTGTATGGGGCTGCTTATTTTAAACAATTTAAAAAATTTTAAAGAAATAATTATTATAACCTAACAAAGAGATTTAACTAACTAAAATTCAAATAATTTCACTCAATGGTCTCAATTTAAATAGAATTTACATTACTAGACTTAAACTATGGCTAGAACAATTACAATTAGTATCTGGGTCATCTTTTGCATTGCTTATTTTATAAAGCCATTTTAGATTAAATACTTTTTAAAGAAATAATAATTATTACACACTGAAAAAAGTTTTACTTGAAATAGCGATAAGTTTCTCTAGAATAACGAAAGTATTAATTGAAGCACTGAAAAATTTCGCTACTAAAGTGAAATCTATAGTTCATCCAGCTAAATATTTTTTGCCGTGCATAACGAAAAAAGAATTAAATTAACATCAGATTTTCTACATTAAAAAAAAAACGAATTCAAATAGAAATTAATCATTTTAAAACTTAAACAAATTCACCCCAGAAATCTGAAATACCAAAGAGTCGAGACTATTAAATAAGTAAAGTATTTTCCAAAAGCACAAAAATAATGAAGCTAAATCCCATAAAAGAGAAGAAAAAATGTTGAATTTTAAGAAAATCGGATTTTTGAATTTTTTCGAATTTTTGATAATTTAAGAGTTTTTACTAAAGAGTCGACACAATTTAATAAGTAAAGTATTTTCCAAAAGCACAAAAATAATGAAGCTAAATCCCATAAAAGATAGGAAAAAATGTTGAATTTTAAGATAATCGGATTTTTGAATTTTTTCGAATTTTTGATAATTTTCGATTTTTTACCAAAGAGTCGAGACTATTAAAAAAGTAAAGTATTTTCCAAGAGCACAAAAATAATGAAGCTAAATCCCATAAAAGAGAAGAAAAAATGTTGAATTTTAAGAAAATCGGATTTTTGAATTTTTTTGAATTTTTGATAATTTTAGATGTTTTACCAAAGAGTCGAGACTATTAAATAAGTAAAGTATTTTCCAAAAGCACAAAAATAATGAAGCTGAATCCCATAAAAGAGAAGAAAAAATGTCAAATTTTAAGAAAATCGGATTTTTGAATTTTTTCGAATTTTTGATAATTTTAGATTTTTTACCAAAGAGTCGAGAATATTAAATAAGTAAAGTATTTTCCAAAAGCACAAAAATAATGAAGCTAAATCCCATAAAAGAGAGGAAAAAATGTTGAATTTTAAGAAAATCGGATTTTTGAATGTTTCGAATTTTTGATAATTTTAGATTTTTTACCAAAGATTCGAGACTATTAAATAAGTAAAGTATTTTTCAAAAGCACAAAAATAATGAAGCTAAATCCCATAAAAGAGAAGAAAAAATGTTGAATTTTAAGAAAATCGGATTTTTGAATTTTTTCGAATTTTTGATAATTTTAGATTTTTTACCAAAGAGTCGAGACTATTAAATAAGTAAAATATTTTCCAAAAGCACAAAAATAATGAAGCTAAATCCCATAAAAGATAGGAAAAAATGTTGAATTTTAAGATAATCGGATTTTTGAATTTTTTCGAATTTTTGATAATTTTCGATTTTTTACCAAAGAGTCGAGACTATTAAAAAAGTAAAGTATTTTCCAAGAGCACAAAAATAATGAAGCTAAATCCCATAAAAGAGAGGAAAAAATGTTGAATTTTAAGAAAATCGGATTTTTGAATGTTTCGAATTTTTGATAATTATTATAGATTTTTTACCAAAGATTCGAGACTATTAAATAAGTAAAGTATTTTTCAAAAGCACAAAAATAATGAAGCTAAATCCCATAAAAGAGAAGAAAAAATGTTGAATTTTAAGAAAATCGGATTTTTGAATTTTTTCGAATTTTTGATAATTTAAGAGTTTTTACTAAAGAGTCGACACAATTTAATAAGTAAAGTATTTTCCAAAAGCACAAAAATAATGAAGCTAAATCCCATAAAAGATAGGAAAAAATGTTGAATTTTAAGATAATCGGATTTTTGAATTTTTTCGAATTTTTGATAATTTTCGATTTTTTACCAAAGAGTCGAGACTATTAAAAAAGTAAAGTATTTTCCAAGAGCACAAAAATAATGAAGCTAAATCCCATAAAAGAGAGGAAAAAATGTTGAATTTTAAGAAAATCGGATTTTTGAATGTTTCGAATTTTTGATAATTATTATAGATTTTTTACCAAAGATTCGAGACTATTAAATAAGTAAAGTATTTTTCAAAAGCACAAAAATAATGAAGCTAAATTCCATAAAAGAGAAGAAAAAATGTTGAATTTTAAGAAAATCGGATTTTTGAATTTTTTCGAATTTTTGATAATTTAAGAGTTTTTACTAAAGAGTCGACACAATTTAATAAGTAAAGTATTTTCCAAAAGCACAAAAATAATGAAGCTAAATCCCATAAAAGATAGGAAAAAATGTTGAATTTTAAGATAATCGGATTTTTGAATTTTTTCGAATTTTTGATAATTTTCGATTTTTTACCAAAGAGTCGAGACTATTAAAAAAGTAAAGTATTTTCCAAGAGCACAAAAATAATGAAGCTAAATCCCATAAAAGAGAGGAAAAAATGTTGAATTTTAAGAAAATCGGATTTTTGAATGTTTCGAATTTTTGATAATTATTATAGATTTTTTACCAAAGATTCGAGACTATTAAATAAGTAAAGTATTTTTCAAAAGCACAAAAATAATGAAGCTAAATCCCATAAAAGAGAAGAAAAAATGTTGAATTTTAAGAAAATCGGATTTTTGAATTTTTTTGAATTTTTGATAATTTTAGATGTTTTACCAAAGAGTCGAGACTATTAAATAAGTAAAGTATTTTCCAAAAGCACAAAAATAATGAAGCTGAATCCCATAAAAGAGAAGAAAAAATGTCAAATTTTAAGAAAATCGGATTTTTGAATTTTTTCGAATTTTTGATAATTTTAGATTTTTTACCAAAGAGTCGAGAATATTAAATAAGTAAAGTATTTTCCAAAAGCACAAAAATAATGAAGCTAAATCCCATAAAAGAGAGGAAAAAATGTTGAATTTTAAGAAAATCGGATTTTTGAATGTTTCGAATTTTTGATAATTTTAGATTTTTTACCAAAGATTCGAGACTATTAAATAAGTAAAGTATTTTTCAAAAGCACAAAAATAATGAAGCTAAATCCCATAAAAGAGAAGAAAAAATGTTGAATTTTAAGAAAATCGGATTTTTGAATTTTTTCGAATTTTTGATAATTTTAGATTTTTTACCAAAGAGTCGAGACTATTAAATAAGTAAAATATTTTCCAAAAGCACAAAAATAATGAAGCTAAATCCCATAAAAGATAGGAAAAAATGTTGAATTTTAAGATAATCGGATTTTTGAATTTTTTCGAATTTTTGATAATTTTCGATTTTTTACCAAAGAGTCGAGACTATTAAAAAAGTAAAGTATTTTCCAAGAGCACAAAAATAATGAAGCTAAATCCCATAAAAGAGAGGAAAAAATGTTGAATTTTAAGAAAATCGGATTTTTGAATGTTTCGAATTTTTGATAATTATTATAGATTTTTTACCAAAGATTCGAGACTATTAAATAAGTAAAGTATTTTTCAAAAGCACAAAAATAATGAAGCTAAATCCCATAAAAGAGAAGAAAAAATGTTGAATTTTAAGAAAATCGGATTTTTGAATTTTTTCGAATTTTTGATAATTTAAGAGTTTTTACTAAAGAGTCGACACAATTTAATAAGTAAAGTATTTTCCAAAAGCACAAAAATAATGAAGCTAAATCCCATAAAAGAGAAGAAAAAATGTTGAATTTTAAGAAAATCGGATTTTTGAATGTTTCGAATTTTTGATAATTTTAGATTTTTTACCAAAGAGTCGGGACTATTAAATAAGTAAAATATTTTCCAAAAGCACAAAAATAATGAAGCTAAATCCCATAAAAGATAGGAAAAAATGTTGAATTTTAAGATAATCGGATTTTTGAATTTTTTCGAATTTTTGATAATTTTCGATTTTTTACCAAAGAGTCGAGACTATTAAAAAAGTAAAGTATTTTCCAAGAGCACAAAAATAATGAAGCTAAATCCCATAAAAGAGAGGAAAAAATGTTGAATTTTAAGAAAATCGGATTTTTGAATGTTTCGAATTTTTGATAATTATTATAGATTTTTTACCAAAGATTCGAGACTATTAAATAAGTAAAGTATTTTTCAAAAGCACAAAAATAATGAAGCTAAATCCCATAAAAGAGAAGAAAAAATGTTGAATTTTAAGAAAATCGGATTTTTGATTTTTTTTGAATTTTTGATAATTTTAGATGTTTTACCAAAGAGTCGAGACTATTAAATAAGTAAAGTATTTTCCAAAAGCACAAAAATAATGAAGCTGAATCCCATAAAAGAGAAGAAAAAATGTCAAATTTTAAGAAAATCGGATTTTTGAATTTTTTCGAATTTTTGATAATTTTAGATTTTTTACCAAAGAGTCGAGAATATTAAATAAGTAAAGTATTTTCCAAAAGCACAAAAATAATGAAGCTAAATCCCATAAAAGAGAGGAAAAAATGTTGAATTTTAAGAAAATCGGATTTTTGAATGTTTCGAATTTTTGATAATTTTAGATTTTTTACCAAAGATTCGAGACTATTAAATAAGTAAAGTATTTTTCAAAAGCACAAAAATAATGAAGCTAAATCCCATAAAAGAGAAGAAAAAATGTTGAATTTTAAGAAAATCGGATTTTTGAATTTTTTCGAATTTTTGATAATTTAAGAGTTTTTACTAAAGAGTCGACACAATTTAATAAGTAAAGTATTTTCCAAAAGCACAAAAATAATGAAGCTAAATCCCATAAAAGAGAAGAAAAAATGTTGAATTTTAAGAAAATCGGATTTTTGAATGTTTCGAATTTTTGATAATTTTAGATTTTTTACCAAAGAGTCGGGACTATTAAATAAGTAAAATATTTTCCAAAAGCACAAAAATAATGAAGCTAAATCCCATAAAAGATAGGAAAAAATGTTGAATTTTAAGATAATCGGATTTTTGAATTTTTTCGAATTTTTGATAATTTTCGATTTTTTACCAAAGAGTCGAGACTATTAAAAAAGTAAAGTATTTTCCAAGAGCACAAAAATAATGAAGCTAAATCCCATAAAAGAGAGGAAAAAATGTTGAATTTTAAGAAAATCGGATTTTTGAATGTTTCGAATTTTTGATAATTATTATAGATTTTTTACCAAAGATTCGAGACTATTAAATAAGTAAAGTATTTTTCAAAAGCACAAAAATAATGAAGCTAAATCCCATAAAAGAGAAGAAAAAATGTTGAATTTTAAGAAAATCGGATTTTTGATTTTTTTTGAATTTTTGATAATTTTAGATGTTTTACCAAAGAGTCGAGACTATTAAATAAGTAAAGTATTTTCCAAAAGCACAAAAATAATGAAGCTGAATCCCATAAAAGAGAAGAAAAAATGTCAAATTTTAAGAAAATCGGATTTTTGAATTTTTTCGAATTTTTGATAATTTTAGATTTTTTACCAAAGAGTCGAGAATATTAAATAAGTAAAGTATTTTCCAAAAGCACAAAAATAATGAAGCTAAATCCCATAAAAGAGAGGAAAAAATGTTGAATTTTAAGAAAATCGGATTTTTGAATGTTTCGAATTTTTGATAATTTTAGATTTTTTACCAAAGATTCGAGACTATTAAATAAGTAAAGTATTTTTCAAAAGCACAAAAATAATGAAGCTAAATCCCATAAAAGAGAAGAAAAAATGTTGAATTTTAAGAAAATCGGATTTTTGAATTTTTTCGAATTTTTGATAATTTTAGATTTTTTACCAAAGAGTCGAGACTATTAAATAAGTAAAATATTTTCCAAAAGCACAAAAATAATGAAGCTAAATCCCATAAAAGATAGGAAAAAATGTTGAATTTTAAGATAATCGGATTTTTGAATTTTTTCGAATTTTTGATAATTTTCGATTTTTTACCAAAGAGTCGAGACTATTAAAAAAGTAAAGTATTTTCCAAGAGCACAAAAATAATGAAGCTAAATCCCATAAAAGAGAGGAAAAAATGTTGAATTTTAAGAAAATCGGATTTTTGAATGTTTCGAATTTTTGATAATTATTATAGATTTTTTACCAAAGATTCGAGACTATTAAATAAGTAAAGTATTTTTCAAAAGCACAAAAATAATGAAGCTAAATCCCATAAAAGAGAAGAAAAAATGTTGAATTTTAAGAAAATCGGATTTTTGAATTTTTTCGAATTTTTGATAATTTAAGAGTTTTTACTAAAGAGTCGACACAATTTAATAAGTAAAGTATTTTCCAAAAGCACAAAAATAATGAAGCTAAATCCCATAAAAGAGAAGAAAAAATGTTGAATTTTAAGAAAATCGGATTTTTGAATGTTTCGAATTTTTGATAATTTTAGATTTTTTACCAAAGAGTCGAGTCTAATAAAAATTGATTAAAAAATGAATTTCACTTAAAATTTTTAATTATAATCGAATATTAAAAACATTATAGCGTAAATTTTTAGAAATAATTGAATTTTGAAAAGGGTTATAATTAAAATATTTAAAAATTGGAATTTTTAGTTACAATATTCTTATGAAATGAAATAATGATTTTATTACTTTATCATCTTAAATGGATTATAAAACATGAGGAAATCGATAACTCCGAGTCGAAGACTCGGAGTGATCGATTTCTTCATGTTTTATTATAGTATTCTCATAAGTAATTGAATTTGAAAATCTTAATTTCTATAGAAAAATAATAATGATTAAATATTTTTTTTTTAAATTTGAGTAAAATTTTTAAATTATTGAATATTAAAAAGCAAAATATGGAAAATTCAAGGACAAAATTTCAAAATCCAGGACATTTAAGGACATTTTTTCAAATTCCAGGACATTTCCAGGAATTCCAGGACTTCAAGGACCAGTAGACACCCTGTAATACATAAAATTCTGACCACCGAGCTAATTCAACGGGCGTCAGAATTTTACGTACGGCTCAATTATTAATTATTTAAAAATATAAACAAGGATAGAGAAATTTAAAAAAAAAATACTTACATTTCAAAGTATTTCCACGTGGTCCAATAAGCAGGCCAACAAAATTAATGTCAGGATGTTCTTCTTGAGGGATCATTACTTTATCATGAACACGTATAATCGGTGGCCTGTTAAATAAAAAATCACATTAAATATAAAAAAGAAACAGAAAATAATTTCAACTTCTTTAGAAACTTACTTATAATCCGGTGGTGGTTTAAATTCAGGATTCAGTTTAAGAATCTTTTGAATAAGATTATGACGTTCTTCCTCCAATTTACGTCGCGTACGATATTCACGTGTATTTAGACGTTTTCCATCGCTACTGTAAATCGGCTCAGGAGATGGTGATCTGGAAAAAAAATATTAAAATCTTACTTTAAATTGCCTGAACAAAGATGGTACTAGCGTACAAGCAACCTGATTCTATAAAACAGAGTTGGCAAAATTTTATTGTATTAATTAATTAATTGCTAAATTAATTTTATAAAATATAATTTATAAAAGAATATACAATTTTGCTGAAAAAACTATTTTTTTTTGATTTTTTCTCTTTAGATCAATTCTGCCAGCTCTGTAAGCGGAAAGTAAACTCTAAACGTACTTTCTTTTTTCTTTAATTGCTCATTAAATTAATATATTTTGTCCGCGTTAAACTAAATCGGGAAAGAAATTTAATGTTAGAGAACAAATTATCCTAAAAGAAGCTTTATTATTCGAATCTAAGATTAAAAAAAAAAATTCAGACCTTCTTTTCCTATTTTTTTCATTTCTTTCGTTTTTCCCCCCTTTTGAGTTAAAAAACAAAAAAAAAATTTGTTTTTTATTTTGAAAAAACACGGGCACGTAAATCTCTCTTTGCGGAAAAACCAATTCTGAATATTGGAAGTTTGTTTCTTTCCAAGATCGCCTTTTTGTATCACAAAGTGTAACGAATCGCTCTGCTGTAAGGCACAGTGCAAATTTTTTATTTATTAATTAATATTAATTTATTGAAGGTAACCACTCGAAGACTGCTCGTTTGTGCACGGCAGAATTGGACATGACGTCAGCTGCTAAGAGATAAACCCTGTGATTATTAGGAAATAATAATTTCTTTTCATTAGTCAATATCTGTATAGAATTATTATTATTATCATCATCATTGTCAGCATTATTATTATTATTATCATCATTATTATTACTACTATTATCATTATTATCATTATTATCATTATTATTATTATCATTATTATCATTAATATCATCATTATTATTATCATTACTATCATCATTATTATTAATAGTAATAATAATATTGTAAATAATATTATTACTATAAATAATATTTATTATAAATAAATAAAGATTATACAACGGTCGAAATAAGTCCAGTTAATACTGAACAGGTTAAACCTGTTGGAAGTAAATCGTTTCATTAAAATTTGATAATATGTGAAAAAATTGTGATTATTAAGAGACCTGAAAGTAACGTTAGATCGTTCTATACAGCAATGCGATTAGTGTATTAGAAAAATTTTTACATTATAAATTTATTTTTTTGTAATCTGCAGGCCTCGGATCGACTTTAACAAACAAAAAAAAGTCGCTTTAGTCGATTAAAAATAGAAAAAAAGTCGAAAAAGTCGTTTATTTAATTTAAAATTTTTTAACAAAATTTTTTTTGTATTTCCCTGATTTCTAAATTCAATTAATCAAAACTTGTATAATTTTGCTAAATAAATATTTAAATACTTCTTATTTCTTTTTTTCACAAGGAATAAAATTTAAAAAATCTAAACTTCTGAAATTTAATAATTTCTAAAAATTAAAACTATAACCATTCCAAAAATTCAATTATTTTCTATAATTTTTAACTAAATTTCATCTCTAAATCAATTATCTATATTAACTTTTAATAATTTTCCGAAAGTTTTTCAAGAATTCAATTATTTAATTATAAAAAAATTCAATTTTTTATAATAATTGAAACCGTCCATTTTTCTTTTTAAAGATATTAAGGTAAAATATTTTCAAAAATTTTAATAAAGAAATTCGTAAAATTAACTTTTTAAATATATTTCTAAATAATTTTTGAAAGACAACAGTTTTACAATTACATACAATTAAAATAATGTCCGAAAAATTGAAATTTAGTAAAATTTTTTAAAAAATAATTTAAATTTAGTACAAACTTTGAAAAATAATTGAAATTTGATAAACTCTTTTAGAAATAATTGAGTTTTTAAAAAAAAATAATCAAATTGTTGAAGAATTTTAATTATAAATTTCTCTAATTATAAAATTCTAAAATAGTAATTTTAAAAAAGTTTAATTTACTTTGTTCGAAGATAATTGAATATTAAAAAATTATAATAAAACAATTCTAAGAATTAGTTTTTTTTTCATAAATATTGTAATGTAATTTTTCGAAAATAATTGAAGAATTTTGGTATAATTTTAAAAAAAAATATAATTTTTTGAAGAATTTTAATTAAAAATTTTGAATAAATTATTTGAAAATAGTCGGAAAAAGTCATAATATCCGAGGCCTGAATTTGATTAATTATCCTGTAATTTGCGCGGGAAAAAAATTTGTTTTATTAGTGGGTTTTGAAAAATGGGGATAGCTTTTTTTTTTGCACTAAACAAATCGTCTACCGACTTGCGTACAATATGCATAAAGCATAATTATTTCTTTTTTCAAATCCGATTTTCTGCTTTGTCAGAAATTTTATTTTCATATTTTTTTTTTTTTTTTTTTTTTGAAGAATATGTAATATGTACGGATCTATCGTGATAAACAGGGGAAGAGAACAACTATTATTTGTTAAACACTGCTATTTGTTTTGTTTTTTTCACTTGTCTATTAAAATTTTATCAAATTTGATTCCAGTGTTTTAAAAATTTACTTAAAAGAAAAATTTGGTAATTTTCTAGTTTTATTTAAAAATTAAAAATATTACTTAAATTTAAATATATTTCTCTTTGAAAATGGCAGTGATTAACAAATAGTGAAATTAGTAGAAGAAAAAATTGATTAGATCAAACCAAGATTATCAAAATTCAGCTTCTGTGACGTTGGATAGCGGCTTGGATAAAAGCCGCCTTATTCAGAGCATCGGTATTCCACTAAGTTAGATGTAGCCACTTTTCTTTTCGTATAAATCTTTTCATTTTTTTTTTAAATTGTTTTTTTTTTTTTTTTTTTTTGAAAAATTCTTAAGACCCTTGAGCAGAGGGTTGCAGGATTTTTGTTTTTTGGTACTTAAGTATCGTTCAAACCTTTCCTCGGGATTAAGCGGTATTCCAAGATCTCCAGTGCGTAGTTTCCTGCTGATTTCCTCAATCTGCAGCTGAACTGTAAACCAACGGGTTAGAGGGGGCGGAAACCCCAACAGTTAGATAAAAATGTTTTTTGTTTGTTACATTTGTCATAAAAAAAGAATTATTAAATATCTAAAAAAAATCTTTTTTTTATTAGAAAAATATATTCTGAAAATTTTTCGATTTTTATTATTAATTATTATTTTTATAAAATTTGATTTTATCTTTTTTTTTTCTTACCTTCGATGACCTTTTTTTTGAAATTAAAATATATACTTACTTATTTTTTTATTGACATCTACGTTATCAATTATTAGATATTATTTTAAAAATAAAATTATACACAGATAAATAAAATTCAGATAAATTATATATATATACAATTTTCTTATGAAGAAGTAAAGCGCTTAATTTAAAAATATTTTTTAAGGGATTTTTTTATGAAAATAAAGTAAACTTACAGAGGTATGCTTGTTCCTGTTCGGGAGTGAGATTTGTTGGTAAAACCGTTGGCATTCCGGGAATAAAAGTTTTGTCATGCTCACTACCTCCCCATCTTGATTTCCTTTTTTTCCTACGCTCTTCCTTGGATTCTTTTTCCTGAATGCCGTCACCTAGGAAAAGAATATTTTTTTTTAACATTATAATTGCAATAATAAGAGTAAATTATTTTTTTTTATTTCTAATTTTCCTTTTTTTTATTAAGTACATAATTAAAATAATAAAATTCTTTGCAAAAATTTAATTATTTTCAAACAAAATTTTAATCAATCCTTCGAAACAATTCAATTATTTTTTAATGAAGTAAAATCTTTGCAAAAATACGATTATTAATTTTGATCAATAAATTTCACGAAAGAATTCAATTTTTTTCTTAATTCGTTATAAAATTTTCCAAAAGAATTCAATTATTTTCATAATTATTTATTTCCATAAAAAGTAAAATTCTATAGAAGATTTCAATTATTTTCTTAAATATAATAAAATTCTTCGAAGGATTTCAATTATTTTCAAAAAATTTTAATGAAATTCTTCGCAAGATTTCAATTATCTTCAAAAAAATAAAAATAAAATTCTTTGAAGGATTTTAATTTTTTTCATAAATAATTGAATTCTTTACAGAATTTCAATTATTTTTAAAAATATGAAACAAATTCATGTCAAGAATTCAATTTTTTCATTAATAATTGAATTCCTTAAAGAATTTCAATTATTTTTTCAAAAATTTTAATAAATTTCTTTCTAAAAATTGAATTATCTTCATAAATAGTAAAATTCTTTTTAAGATAACAATTATTATTTTCTTAAACTACAAAATTCTTCGGAGGATTTCAATTGTTTTCAAAGAATTTTAATGAAATTCTTCGCAAGAATTCAATTATTTTCATAAAAAATAAAATTCTTTGAAGGATTTCAATAATTATTTTCATTAATAATAAAATTCTTCGGAGGATTTCAATTATTTTCAAAAATATGAAACAAATTCATGTCAAGAATTCAATTTTTTCATTAATAATAATTAAATTCCTTAAAGAATTTCATTTATTTTTTCAAAAATTTTAATAAAATTCTTCCTAAAAATTCAATTATTTTCATAAATAGTAAAATTCTTTTGAAGATAACAATTATTTTCTTAAAATAATGAAATTTAATTTTTTTTCATAAATAATTGAATTCTTTACAGAATTTTAATTGTTTTCAAAAATTTGAAACAAATTTTTATTAAGAAATCCTTTCAAAGTAAAATTCATCGAAAAAATTAAATTATTTTTTATAAAAATATAATAAAATTCTCCTGAGGAATACAATTATTTTCAATACAATTTTAAATAAACTTCGAAAATCAAATATTTCTTTATAATTATGATTATTTTAAAAAGTTGAAAAAATTCTTTGTTTAATTCAATTATTTTCAAAGTTTTCAATTAAAATTATTCAAAAAACTACATTATTTAAAAAAAAACTCTAAGAAATTCTTCAAAGAAATTTTAATTGTTTACAAAAACTCTAACGAAATTGTTTAATTAACTATCAATAATTTTAATAAAATGTTAATAGTAAAATTATTAATTAGAATTATTAAGAAAATCGATTATATTCAATAAATTAAAGAAATTTTTTGAAAGAATTCAATTATTGTCAAAATAATCAATGGTATTTATTCTTTTAAAAAATTTAATTATTTTGTATATTTTAACAAAAATTCCACATCTAGAAACTAAGAATTAATTTTATGTTTGAATTTGAAAAAGAATTAAATAAATTTCATTAATTTCGGATCGAATACAAAAATGACAAAAATCGATCTAAGTTAAATAGGTTATGTTAAGCGACATACATTTTACGAAAATTTGATAAAATTTCGCAAATAATTGAAACCAGTGAATATTTAATTGATCAGCATTATTGAATTTAGTATTCTACAATTTTTCGATATTCTAAATTCGCAGTAAATATTTTTTTTTAAACAGAATAGAAAATTTTTTCTCACCATCGGCTTCTCGTTTCCTGGACGTTGAATTAGCTATTGCCTGGGATACAGCCTGGGCTGCAGCAGCCGCAGCAGCTGCTGCATCACGAATATAACCCGGATTAAGAAGTGATGTAAAATTTCTTGATTGATTCATAGCGTCGTTAATTTCTTTTTACAAACGCTTCTTCTCTATACTATATCTCTCCTTTGCGTTCAGAGCAAATTTTGCGTTACTATATATATATACAGCTTTCTTATAATTATAAAAAAACTTCACTTACTCCAGTGGAAAAATAATTTAATTACATTTCAATCCTTATAAGAAAAACTCACAAACCACTTTAGATATTCTCTTTTTAATCTTGCAAATGAGAGAATTTACGCAGCACCGATCACGTTATTCTTGCTGTTTAATTATAGGGTTCATCATGGTGGCCATTTTGTGGAGTCAGCAGGAAGCGGCGTAAACTACGCCTGCGACTATTATTTCGGACACTTTTCCGACAGCCAATCGTTTCTCTCGATCTGATCACGTGATTTGTTTCTTCTTGAGGTGTGCTTTCTATGTTCTTTTTTATTCCCTTATTTCTTATTTCGATACTTTTCGAGTTCGACTTTTTTCAATTCGACCTTTTTGCTATGCTTTTTAGAAAGGAGGATTATTATTTCGATACTTCTCGAGTTCGACTTTTTTCAACTCGACCTTTTTATGTATGATGACTTTTAAAGATGGCCGCCTTTAGTTTCTTAAAAGGAACGTGAAGAGGGAGCTTGCAAATTTCGTGATTTTCTTGCTCCCTTTCGGCGCACGTGGATTATGTTTTCATCTCAAAAGACGAGAAATTACATTAAAAAATCTCACAATACAGTGATAAAGTAAACTCACATTGTTTTCGATAAATTTTGGAAAAAAATATACATTATTTATTTATTACTTTAACTCAATTATTTAAGGTAAGTGGACGAAAATTTCTCTTTCTAACCTTAAAATAACATCCCAGATGCTTTATATAAAACTGTCATTGTTGATCTAACATTTGTCAAAATAATAATTATTATTCGAAAATATGAAAAGTGTTAATTATTATTGGAGAAATTTTAATTACTTGATTGTTAAAATAATTTCTTTGTTCTTTTTTTTCTAAACGAAGATGTCTATTGTTTCGTCACGAGTAAGCAGTGTGGCTTCTATTTTGAAGACACCAGGTTCGAGATCATCTCTTCTCGATCAACCAAAACGAATTCGTTTCAAGCTACCCGATGATTTTAGAAATGTTCTTCTAAATTTCGAAACTGGTGCTGATAATCAAATGTACAAAGATTTAGTGTGTATAATACGAGATTCAAATCTAAAGGTAATTTTTTTCAATAATATGAATAATATTTACAATTTTATCATTATTAAATAGATGGTAAGTAAATTTAAGTAAATTGTAGCAATAATTCAAATTAATTTTAAAAAAGGAAAAAGTAATTAAAATTGTATTAGATTTCAAATTAATTAAGATATATAAGAAAATAGAAATATTGATTAGTTAATTAAAAAATATTGTGCAATGTCACGTAATATTTATATTTTTATTTTTTGCTTCACTTGTTTTTATGTCTATTAATAATATATTGACAAAGTTGACAATCAATGAATAATGTAGAAGAAAAATATTTTTCACACCGTAGATAATGAAATTTTTCTCTTTAAAATAATTGATAAGAAAAGTTTTTTTTTTAACGGAAAAATATAGAAATTTTCCAATTCGTTTATCGTAAACGTGAATTTTGTCAATTTTTAATAAAAACTTATTTTATTTATCACCATTTTGTTTATTTTCATAAATAGAAGAGCTTTAAAAGAGGTTTTAATCTAAAATTTTTTAAAACTTCAATTTTGAATGAATTTTGAAAATAATTCAATTTTTCGAAGAATTTTCATAAAATTGTATTAAAAATAATTGGAATCCTGTGAAGAATTTTATTATTTAGGAAAATAATTGAATTACTGCAAAGAAAATTATTACATGTTTTTTTTAAATAATTGAATTCTTTTTGAGAAATTTTATTATTTAATAAATTATTTAATTAATTTGTTTTTAGGACAATGAACTACTGTCGTTGTTGTCTGATGTTCAGCAGTGTATAACTTTGCTTAATGAACGACATAGACTATTAATCGAAGCACTACTCAATATTTCTTGGACTGATCGTTCCCTGGAAGTAACCACAGCATACAAAAGATTTGTTGAAGAACTTTTGGTTGCACATGTTTATCATTCGAAATTCGTCATGGATAAATTAATTCAAAAGTTTAAACCAGGTATGAAGAAGTTTTTTTTTTATCTACAAATTAGTTAACATTTAAAATATTTGTAATTTTTTTTAGTTAATTCTTCGGACCCTGAATGGGAAAATGGAAAACCAAGATCAGAAGATTTACAGAGATTAAATCACGTTCATGATATTCTTCAAAGATTTTTACACGTTATTCCCATGTGAGTCGTGTTTTTTTTATTAATTTAAATCTTGTCAAGAATTCTATTCAAAAAATTGTAAAAATACAATTTTTATTGTTTCGGAGAAAGAATTTAAATTCTTTAGGGGAATTAAGTTAGAAATGTTTAATATTTATAAATACTAATTAAAAATATTTATTATTTTTAGTATTTAGTATTTCGAAATCTAATTTTTGTTTCTTTTTTAGGTGCCAAGATGTTTTAATGCAATCATTAGCATCGGCTTATCCACACATGTCCCTCGGGACACATTCACACGAATTATACGTTTACGCTTTACTTCAAATTACCGAATATGCGCCTAAAATTCGACGAGCGATTTTACATTTGATAGTTCACAGGTAAGAGAAGATGAAATTCCGTAAAAGTCCGTTTTTTTTTTTTTTTGAAAAAAGGTCCGTAAAGTCCGTAATTTCATTCAAAAAGGATAAAAAGTTCGTAAATTGTACGATACAATTTGGAGAATTTTAGAGAAATTACAAATGATTGCAGAAATTCAATTATTTTTAAAAGTAATAAAATTCATCGCGAAAATTCAATTATGTTAAAAAATTATTTTAAATTCTCATCAAAATTTCAATTATTTTTAACGTAGAGTGTTTTAGAATTAAAACACGTTTTCTATTTTTAGAAATATTAAAATTCTTCTCCAAAATTCAATTATTTTCAAAAAATCTAAAAAACATTGTCAACATTTAAATTATCTTTATAAATAAATAGCAAAATTCTTCGACAAAATTCAATTACCTATTTTCAAAAATTTTTTTTAAATTCATTAAAAAATTTCAATTATTATCATAATTAACAATATTTATCACGCGAATTCAATTATTTTCTAAAGTAATAAAATTCAATTATTTTCAAAAATTTTAATAAAATCCATTGCGAAATTTCAATTATTTTCAAAAGTAATAATATTCTTCGCAAAAATTAAATATTGTTCAATATCTACTATTTTCATAAAATTTACCAAAAGAATTTAATTATTTAAAAAAAAAATTTAATAAAATTCTACAAAAACTTTTAATTATTATCAAAAAATAATAAAAATTTCACAAGAATTTCATTAATAACAAAATTTTTTTCTAAATTTCTTCGCAATCATTTAACTATTTTCATAATTAATAAAAATTTTACGGGGATTCAATTATTTTCGTAAATAATAAAATTAAATAAAATCTTTTTAGGAATTTAATTATTTTCAATAGAATTTTAATCGAATTCCTCGAAAAAATTCTTAAAAATTTTATTAAAATTCGTCCAAAGAATTTAATTATTTAAAAATTTGTTGATAATATTTTTAATAGGAATTGAATTCCAAGAAACATTCAATTATTCAATAAATTATTTATTTTTGTATTTAAATAATTAAATTCTTGTAGAATTTTCTCATAAACATTGATTTAAAAATAGATTTCAGTAAAAATCTTAGATTATAATAATTGAATTCTTTCCGAAGAATTTCATTAAAATTTTAAAAATAATTGAATTTTATCGAGGTATTTTTTTAAAATTGTCTTAAAAATAATTGAATTTCTACCAAAAAAGTTTTATCAAAACTTTTTAAGAAAATGTTTGAATTTCTGCTAAAATTCTGATATTTTTGAAAATAATTGAATTCTTGCGAATAATTTTATTAAGACTTTTGAAAATAATTGAATCTCTGCAAAGATTTTTATTATTTTACAAAAATATTTAAATTATTGCGAAAAATTTTTATAAAATTTCTGAAAATAATTGAAGATTTGCTAAGAATTTTGTTATTTTTAATTTATGCCAAGAATTTTATTAAAATTTTTAAAAATAATTGAATTCCTGTTAATTTTTTACAAAAATTTAATTATTTTTGAAAATTTTAATAAAATCCTTCGCAAGAATTCAATTATTGTCATAAATAATCAAATTCAATGCAGAATATCAATTATTTTTAATACAATTTTAATCGAATTTTGTCGAAAAATGTAATTATTCTTAAAAATTTTATTAAAATTCTTTGATAGAATTCAATTACTTGAAAATTTGTTGATAACGATTTTTTATAGGAATTGAATTTTAAGAAACGTTCAATTATTCAATAAATTATTTATTTGCATTTTATTTGTATTTAAATAATTGATTTCTAGTAGAATTTTCTAATAAAAATTGATTTTCATTTCATAAAAATGAATTTCAGATAAAATTTTAGATAATATTTGAATATTAAAAGCAATATAGCGCGAATTTCTAAAAAAATAATTGAATTTTGTAATTAATTTTTTTGAAAAAGTTTAATTGAGTTTTTTTAATATTATTTTTAGTTTATATTTTCTAATATTTATTCAATTAAAGAATTGACGAATAATTGAAATTTCGTAAAATTGAATATTGTAAAGAAATGAATTTGAAAATTGTCAAAGAACTTTTTCGAAAATTATTAAAAATAATCGATATAAAGAAGAATTTTAGATAAAAATTCTTAAAAATAATAATTGAATTGATAATGATTTTAATTATTATAAATTATTTTTATTAATAATTATTATTAATTATTAGAAAACATGAAGAAATCGATGACTTTGAGTCGAAGACTCGGAGTTATCGATTTCTTCATGTTTTATAATTATGAAAAATTGAATTTCTAGTTTTAAGTAAAATGTTCTCTTATTTGATTCGGCCTGTTTCTTTTTTTGTCATTTGGTCGGTAATTTTTAATTTTTGGTCCGTAAAGTCCGTATTTTTAAATACTTTTACTGCTTCGAGCCCTGATTCTATTAAATTCTAATAATAATGGAATAATTATATTAATAAATAATTAATAAATTATTAGTAAATTTTAATAATTGAATTTACTATGTTATTAATTAATGGAATTTTTTTCGTAATTTTTCTTTTTAATGTTCTAAATTTTATGAATGAAATAAAATAATTTTATGAAATTAAAAACTCTTTTTTGTGTTTAGATTAGTAGAATTGGACGCAAACGCTTCGCCCTCGGACATTCACTCCTATGAGGAGGACAATGAGGACGAGGCAATGGAGGAGGATGGTGCAATATTTAATTTAGAAATTAGTCAGGACGAGAAATTGGCAACGAACGAAAGAAAAAGGGAAACAAAACATCCAATTGCTCGTACTCTCGATGTCTGTATGGAGCAAATGTTTATTTTCATTTACAATTCATGTCACGTGAATGAAAAATTAGAAATTGATCTTCTAAAAACGATCTACAATGATCTATTGAATATTTTCGAGGAACTAATTCTACCGACCTGTGGACATCACGTTCAGTATCTTCTCTTCTATTTGTGCAGTTTTAGAACGGCCGTCGTTGAGGCTTTCGTGAAATTTCTTTGGCAAAAGGTTTCTAATCCAAATGTACCACATTTTTTGAGACAACAAGCAGTCGCCTATGTTGTCGGTCTACTCGCCAGGGCCACATTTATTCCGTTGAATTTACTCCAAGGTATTTCGCTATTCTTATTTTTTTTTTATTTGAAAAAAATTTGCTAATTCAATATTTAGCAAAAAAATTACTTAAAGATCAATATTTTTTGTAATAATTCGAAATTCGAAAAAAATTGTATTTGATGATAAAATTTAATTTAAATTCCAGGTATCTTGGCGGAAATGGCAAATTGGATTCACAGTTATATTTATTCGCAAGATAGTCTTGAATGCGTTAATAACGATATTCGGGTTCACATTGTTTTCTATTCAATTTGTCAGGGATTATTTTATTTACTCGCCTTTCGTCACAAGGAAATAATGAACGGCAGAAAAAGTAAGTATTTATAGAAGAATTTTAGTTAAAAATACTAAAAGAAAATTGAATTTTGAAACTTTTGAAGAAATTTCTAAATAAATGTAATAGAACATTTTTTTTTGAGTATCTAATCATTTTTAGAGTGAATGAGAATATTCTTTAGGGAAAAAGTCTAGAAACCAGGGAAAAAGTAAAAAAAAAAAGTCAAAAAATCTAGAAACCAGGGAAAATTCAGGAAAAAACAAAACTAAATTTTTGTGGCAACCCTGAAAATCTGATTTTTTTTCTAGAAGAAAATATCGATTTTTCCAACAATAATAATAATAAAAAAAAAATAATAAAAACTAATAAAAAATCATCTCTTTCTAGATCTACTATTCTTACAAGGACTGAATTTAAATAAAATCGTTAGCTGCCGACTAAATCCATTGAAGGTTTGTCAATCGGCAGTTGTACAAAATTTCGCCGCAGTAACGAGAAAATATCAATTGGCATATTGCTATACAGTTATTGAGCATAATTCAAGAAGTAATTTACCCGTTTATAATATGGGAAATATAATGACAATAACATTGGAGCCATTTTTTCCATTTGATCCATATTTGTTGGCGAGAAGTGAACAAAGAATAATTCATCTCTACTATAATAGTCAATGTATGACATTGAATGTTGAAAGTAAGAAAACCAATCAGTACGAGGACGATGACGATTTCATTGACGAATCATTTTCATCCGATACAAATTCCCACAGTTATTTGGAGAAATTTTCATATGGCACGTCACCGGGTTTTGTACATACGTGAGTGTACTGATTTTGCAAAAATTTTCAGAATAAAAAAGAAAATAAAAAAAGAGAAAAAAAAATTGTATTTTTTATATATAGATTCTTTTTGAAGTGAGTGGAAACAAATTTCTCTTTTTTCCGACTTGAAACTAATTTTGATGCACTTTTTTTTGTAAAATTATGAAAAATTAATATTTATTTCTTTAATGATAAATTATAAATATAAATATTATTTATATTTAAATAAATAAATATTATTTCTTTGTTCATTATAATATTAAATTTTATATTTCAGATAAAAATATTAATTTTTCATTGTTCATTATTAGTCATTATTCTAATTTAATTAGTTTTCTAAATTGCGATAATTTTTTTTTTGTTTCTTTCAGAACAAAAAGACAATTTTATGTATCAAATTTTGTTTTTAATATTCGTAATAACTAAATACTATTTATTTACATAAATTATTTGTATAAAAATGGAAAGTGAAACAAGCCTCACGTAATTCTTACATCAAGCATAGTTTTCTCTATCAAACCTTTTTATCTTTTTCTTTTTTTTTATAAAATCACTTTTTCAAATATATGAAAAATATTTCAACTTTTTTTTCCAACGAAAATAATTTTCAACGAAAAAAATACGATTGCTAGTGAAATATTTTCAAAATTGAATTAAAAATCATTTTATATTTAGTTTACATTAATTTTTACTTGGACTAAATATATTTATTCAATTTCGTAAAGTATTTTGTCATCAATCATATTTTTTTTCAGCAAACAAAAAGATCTTTTACCATCTTTTTGTTAAATTTATCTATATTTTTGTTTTTTTGTAAAATAGTAATTAACTATTTTCGGGGCAATGGGAAATTTTTTTCTTTCGAAGTGCAAAGAAATAAATTGATTTTCGTCATGAGAAATATAAATTTGTGGCTTGGAGTAAGGATTTAATTTTTTTTTTTTGAATTTTAATGAAAGATGATGATTTTCCTTTGGCTATAATGAATCAATATACAATGGCGATTCATCCTGTTGTTTAATTAATGTTGATAGTGCTCGTTCCAAATTTTCTGGCAAATGATCGAGAAGCATTCGTGGCATCACTGACATTTCCATAAAATCCTCGGCTTGCGCCCAACGCATTTTGTATTTTTGATCTTTGCTTTTTGTCTTTCTAAAGGAACGAAAACAAGAAATAAAAATATTATGGGAAAATTTCAAAAAGTGGACAAATTTTTTTTTTAATTAAGAAAATTATACCTAATTTTTTTAATAACTGTTAAAAAAAATCTATAGATAAACTTTTTATCATGTAATTTTATTATATTAAGTAAATTTTAGGGAAAAGTTGAAATTGTACCAAGGACTGAATTATTATTATTAATTTTAAGATTATTGTTAGTTAATAAATGAAGATAAAAATTTACGTACTTCTTTTTATCTGTCGTCAAATTCTTGCATCTCACAATGTGAAGAATTCGTCCTGCGGTGTATAGTCGAACTTTTGAAAATCTCCTCCTTGATAGATCTCGCTCTAAAATTCTCGTTTCCTGGCAAAGAAAAGATTTTTTAAAATGGGAAACAAAATAGAAAAGCAAATAGAAACGAAATCAAAACAAAACAAAATAGAAAACAAAATAGGAAACAGAATAGAAAAAAATATAAATTAAAATACGAATCAATATAAAAAATAGAAAATAAAATAGAAAACAGAATAGAAAAAAAAATAGAAAACAAAACAAAAGTAGAAAAGAAAATATAAATGAAAATACAAAACAAAATTAAAAAAAGAAAACAAAATAGAATACAGAATAGAAAAAAAGAAAACGAAAAAAAAGTGATGGGAAATATAAGGTGTGGTGGTAGTAAATATTTTCTTGCAAATAAATGTAAATTAAAAGTAAAAAAAAATTTTTTTCGTACTCTTTGGCTTCTTGAACCATTTTCGACCAAAAGGGGCAATTGTCCTGGAATTGAATTAATTGTATTGCCATTCCTCCAGGTTCTATTGAGATCTCGATCAGGAACGCCAAACAACATGTAACCAAATCCATTTAATACGACTCGATACTGAAAGAAGAAAATATTTTATTTTTTTTTTACATCAATTACGAGAAGTTAACGACTATTTTTTTTTTTTTTTTTTTTATTGAAAAAAAGAAGAGAAAAAAATTTAATAGAGAAATTACCTTCGGCAATTGACAAGCTTGAAGCGTGATCAGTAATGAAGTTCTAAAATTTTCAGTACTGTCAACACTCAATCTCATTATAAAATCATCTCCCAGTCCTACTGTCAGTACAAATTCTTCAGTTACTTTTGCTGCCTCCCTACTTAGCAGTCCAGCTAAAAAAAAATCATTTGTATTTACAAAAAAATTGTAGGAAAAAAAATTGTTTTTTAATAAATTATAATTAAAATTAATATTTTAACTCAAAAAAGTACAACTGAAAAAGCACAATTTTTTTGTAATTGAAAAATTGCACTCTTTAAAAAATTGTAATTGAAAAAAAATTCTTACTTAAAATATTGTAACTATACAGAAAAATTGTAATTAAAATTACAATTTAATTTTAATTGTAATTTTCAAAAAATTGTAATTGAAAAAAATTCTTATTGATTAAAATTGCAATTATATAAATAAAACGAATTGAAAAATTCCACTCTTCAAAAAATTGAAATTGAAAAACAATTTTTACTGAAAATATTGTAATTAGAGAAAATTGAAATTAAAAAAATTTTTAAAAAAATTGAAATTTTCAAAAAACTGTAATATTGAAAAAAGTTTGTATCGATTAAAATTAGAAATACAAAAAAACTGTAATTGAAAAATTGCATTCTTAAAAAAATTGTAATTGAAAAAAAATTCTCAATGAAAATATTGTAATTACAGGAAAATTCTAATTAAAAAATTACAAATTTTCAAAAAATTGCAATTGAAAAAAATTCTTACTGAAAATTAATATTGTAATTACAGAAAATTGTAATTGAAAATTGAAAATTTTTAAAACAAAATTTAAACTACAAAAGAAAATGTAATTACTAGAAATTTTAATTGAAAAAAAGTGTAATTAAAAAAATAACACATATAAAAACCATAAATATAGAAAAATTACAATTTAAAAGAAAAAAAAATAGAAACGAAAAAATGATAAAAATGACAAAAATAAGTTTTAAAATTTCACCTGGAGTTGCGAATGCATAGACTTTTAATTCTGGATATTTAGGACGAATTAGTAAACCTAATAAAACTGCTAATCCAGCTCCCAAACTGTGACCTAAAAATTGAATTAAAATTAAAAATTGAATTAAATTTGAAAGTTAAATTAATTTTAAAATTACAATTATATAATTAAATATCAAAAACATTTTCTTACCTGTTAATGTTAAATTATAATTGGGATATTTTTCGAAAGCCTTCTCCAAAATTTTGAATTGATTCAATTGTTTTAAAAGAACTTTTGCTCCCACAATCATACCTTTGTGTGCCTAAAAATATTTGCAAAAAAATTAAACAAAAGTAATAAAAATTTTTTAAATTTTGATTTTACAATTTTATGATAATTCTATTTAATTTAATATAAATGTAATAATTAAATTATTAAGTTTAACAAAAAATAGAATAAGTAAATTAAAATTTTTTAATTTATTTATTTTTAAAAATAGAATAAGTAAATTAAAATTTATTTATTTATTTATTTTTAAAAATAGAATAAGTAAATTGAAATATTTTAATAATTTATTTTATTTTTTATTAGTTTTTTTTTTTTTTTTTTGAGTTGATTAAAAATTCAAGACTCACCATACTACCAGCGGGAAGACCTTCAATTTCAAATGTATCAGAAGCTGCGGTAATATCCGTAATGACATCCCTTAATGATAAGGAACCGCGAATAATAATTACAATACTCGCCGTTTTATGATCCGCAATTACGCAAAATGGTATCTGATAAAATTAAAATAAATTACCTTTTTTTTATTATTTAAATAAAAATTGAATAATTATAAATTAATATACCATTTTATTAGTATTTTTTTATTTTATTAATTATGTTAATTAAAAAAAACTTATAAATAAATAAAAACTAAAAAATTTAATATTATAAAATATATTCAATTAAAAAACAATAAATAAATTCTAAATAAACAAAAATAAAAAAATTAAATATATAACAATTATTATAATATTAAGAAATTGTACTTAAATAAAATTATCTGATTATTAATATTATGTTAATTATATTAATTACATTAATTATAATTAACTGATAACAAATTAAATGTACAAGAGTTAATTATTAAATACTACGTAAAAAAATAATTAATTATTAGAAAATTAAATATATTAAATTAGTAAAAAAATGAATAAATAAAATTAAAAATTACAAAAATTTATAATTGTCTTGAATGTACAATAATTTGGAAATTTTAGAAATTTTTTATAAACAAAAAAATGGACTTTTTCTTGCGAATATTTTTCACTGTGAGAAAAATTTCGTATTCACTTACCTCACAGAGATGATTTCTGAAGGATGCGAATAGGATATCATCTTCAGACACTTTCGAAAGATATTTAATGCCAGAAAGACTGCACAAGCAACAATTGTCTTCTATAATTATGTTACGTTTTCTCCTACAAAAATTATTAAATAAAAATTAAAACTTCAATTTTACTAAAATATTATTAAAAAAAAATTATTAAAATTATATAAACAATTTTTTAGTAGGCATATTTTTAGTTTTCCCTTGTAGCCTAGCGGTCAATAAAGAGTCATTGTTGCCCTAGGGTAATAATTTTATTATTCTATTTTATTGACAACTCGAAGGTGAATAAAGTACTTATTATGACCCTAGGGCAATAATGAACACTTTATTGCCCTAGGGTCATAATAAGTACTTTTTTTATATTTTTTTTTTTGTTTTCTAATTTTGCCCCAGGGTAATAAATATTTTAAGAAGAAAAAAAGAATTTCTTTACCTAAAACACGCACAACATGTCATTCCTTTAATTAAACGAAAACATCCAGTACAAGCGTGTTGATAAATAACAAAAAGCCATCCATAGGAGGCAATTGATAATTGCATATAATGCTGTGCCCATTCTAATGTCATCCAATTTGGTGTGCCAGCAAAAATATTTTGAGAATCTGTAATAAATTTAATTTTTAAAAATTAAAAAAAAAAATTAATTGAATTTAATTTCGAGTTAATTTTATATTATAAAAATTATTTCCCAATTCTCATGTTTTAACATAATGAAAATCTAAATTATTATTTTACTACTATTAACAAACTATTGTTATTAATTTTTTTTTTTTATTTTTTAAATGATGCAAAAATGCAAGTTAAGAAAAAAAAATGATTTGCATATATATATTTTTTTGCATGAGTGTTAATTTCTTGAGAAGGAAAATTGAGAGTGAAAATTTGCATACCCGAGGTATATTTCGGCCTCTCTAAAATGTTAAGTCGCCTTAATTCGAGGGTCTCGCGTTTCTGTCTTACTCTTAGAAGGACACATCCAGCCAACACGTCCGATGGAACCAAATCAGTACCACGAAAAAGGGAACTCATTAAACCTGTTGAGAGAAAAAATGTGCGAATTTCGCAATTTTTTTTTTATTTTCTTCTTCTCTTAATTCTCCAAAAATTAATTTTATGGAGAATTTTTTAAATACATTGTAAATAAATTATTTAAATTTTATACAATTTTTTATTTTATGCAACAAAGAAGTATTATGGTCATTAATATTCAATCTGTGTTAGTGGATTTTAAGTTCCTTTTTTTATAGCCCTGCTGGTCAATAAATAAAGTGTTCATTATTGCCCTAGGGGAATAATGATCACTTTATTGACCAGCTATATTATGAAATATTATATTATATTTTATATTATAAAATATTATATTATATTTTATATTATAAAATATTATACTATATAATATATTTTATATTATTTTGATAATTTAATTCCAAATTATTAATAAAAAAAAGTTTTTTTTTACACTATAAGTGAAAATATTTTGTAAAAAAAATTCTTAGACGAATGCATAATGGCATTTTTATGAAATGAACACAAATGAATATTTAATTAATTCGCAATTGTTTTTTTGCCATGAGTACAAAATTATTATCACAATGTACGCAAAGAAATATTTTGCAATTATGTTAATATGGTTACTATTGTGCTTCTTTACTCATTTGAGTGAATAATAATAATTTATGTTTAGGTTAAATTTTTGAGAAACATGAAGAATAATTTTTAGAATTGCATATTTTTTAGAATTGAAGAGTAAAATTTTTTAAACTGAAGAATACTTTTTTTAAATTGAAAATCAATATTTTTTTAAAATAATTAAAGAATATATATAATTTTTAAAATTAAAAAAAATCTTTTTTAAATTTGAAAAATAATCTTTAAATGCGAAAAAAGTATTCTTTAATAATTTTAGAAAGTATTCTTTAGTTCTTTGGAATTGAATTTTTTCAATTCTTAAAAATATTCTTTAAATATAAATTTTTTTTTCAATTCTAAAAAGTTTCTTCGGATTTACAAAATATTTTTCAATTCTTAAAAGTATTTTTTAATTTTCAATACTGGTTTTCAATTCTTAAAAGTATTCTTGAATTTAAAAAAAATGTTTTTTAATTCTAAAAATTATTCTTCCGAGTTAAAGAATATTTTTCAATTCTTAAAAGTATTCTTCAATTTAAAAAAATGTTTTTTTAATTCTAAAAAGTATTCATCTGACTTAAAGAATATTTTTCCTTTTTTAAAAGAATTCTTCAACTCTAAAAAAATGTTTTTTAATTCTAAAAAAGTATTCTTCGAAATTACACAATATTTTTTAGTTCTTAAAAGTATTTTTAAATTTTCAAAACTGTTTTTCAATTCTTAGAAGTATTCCTGAATTTAAAAAAATTTGTTTTAATTTTAAAAGTGTATTCTTCGGATTTACACAATGTTTTTCAGTTCATAAAAGTATTATTAAATTCTTAAAAACTGTAAAATACTATTAAGAATTGAAAAAAAAATTTTTGTAATTGAAGAATATTTTTAAGAATTTAAAAATAATACTTAATCTTATTAAATACTTTTTAGAATTGAAAAACAAATTTAAGATTTAAAAAACACTTTTAAGTATTTTTAAAAATTTTTTTCCATTCTTAAAAGTATTCTTCTGAGTTGAAGGATATTTTTCCATTTTTTAAAGAATTCTTTAACTCCAAAAAAATGTTTTTTAATATTAAAAAAGTATTCTTCGGATTTACACAATATTTTTTAGTTCTTAAAAGTATTTTTAAATTCTCAACACCTGTTTTACAATTCTTAAAAGTATTCTTTAATTAAAAAAAAATTGTTTTTCAATTCTAACAATTATTCTTTGGATTTTTTTTGTATTTTTTCTTTGTATTTGATTTCTTTGATTTCTTTGTATTTTTTTTTTTTTTGCTTTTTAAAAATAATTTTTCAACTCTAATATAATATTTTTTTTAATTCTAAAAAAGTATTCTTTGGATTCACAAAATATTTTTCAATTCTGAAATGTATTTTTAAATTCTAAAAACTGGTTTTCAATTCTAAAAAGTATTCTTCGGATTTATAGTATATTTTTCCATTTTTAAAATAATTCTTCAACTCATCTAATAAAATGTCTTTTTAATTCTAAAAATGTATTCTTCGGATTTACAAAATATTATTCAATTCTTAATAGTATTTTATAGTTTCAAGAATTTAAGAATACTTTAAAGAACTCAAAAACATTGTGTAAATCCAAAGAATATTTCTTTTAAATTTTTAAACTTTTTTTTTAGAATTAAAGAATTATTTTAAAAATCGAAAAATATTCTTTAACTCAGAAGAATACTGTTTAGAATTGAGAAACAAATTTCTAAATTAAAGAATACTTTTAAGAATTGAAAACCAGTATTAAAAATTAAAAAATACTTTTAAGAATTAAGAAAATAAAGAAACTTTTTAGAATTGAAAAAAAATTTAGAATTAAAGAATGTTTTTGGGAATTGAAAAAATTCAATTCCGAAGAACTAAAGAATACTTTTTTGGAACTTAAGAGTTTAGTTTTTTAAAAATTAGTTTTTTAAAATCAAAATGAATATTTTTGAAATACAAAAAGAAAATTCCTTTAGGAAAAAAATACAAAAAAAAAAATATAAATATAAAAAAATTAACAAAATATAAGAAAAAAAAGAAGAAAAGAATCAGAAAAAGAAGAAAAAGAAGAAGAAGAAGAAGAAGAAGAAGAAGGGGAATTTGCTAATTATTGCGGAGAATTTATTAGTTTTCTTGCTCTACCTATGTCTCACCAGCAACATGTTGAAAGGTTTCGTTTGCACTTTCATCTCTTCTCATCCACCAGAAAAACTTGAATCGTCGAAGCCAAATTCTGGAGACTTTTTTATGTTCAATTGCATCCTCGAGGACCTTGTCCTCCATCCCAAATGTACCGAGTGGATCGAAGACCAGCGCCAGGCCAAGTATCGCCAGGCCAATTAGCACCCAGTCGAAAAATATCAAAACCTTCACGACAGTTATTGTATAATGATCATGATTACAGTGAATATTTTCACTGAAAACCCACAATGAACCGAGAATGTTCCACACTATCTCCAATGGTATCAATAGAATTCTAAATACACACGGAAAAAAAAATTATTTATTTAATTTTTTTTTTGTTATTACTAATTTATTTAGTTTTTATTATTACTAATTAATTTAATTTTTATTATTACCAAGTAATTTAGTTTTTATTATTACCAATTAATTTAGTTTTTATTATTACCAATTAATTTAGTTTTTATCAACTAATTATTATAATTAATTTTTCAAAACTAAATAAAAAAAAAGTTTAAATAATACCCTAAAATAAAATTTATCTATTTTTATTTATTTATTTCATTTATGTGTTTTATTTACATTTTTTATTTTATTTTTTTAATAACTTTTTTTATTTTTTAATTTCATTTCTTTATTTATAATTTTAAAAAACATTTACATCTATTAATATAATTTTTTATTTTATTTTTTAAATTAATTACATTAAATTTTAATTAATATATTTACAATTGAAACTAATAACTAAAAAATTACTAAAGTAAAAAAATTCAAAAATCTAAATATCAGAAATATAAACTAAAGTTAACTAATAAATTTAACTAAAAAGTAACTAAATAAAAATATTTTTATCATTATTATAAAGTCAATTATTTTATTATTAATTGATACCACAATAAAATTAAATTAAAAAATTAACTCAAATAAATTGCAATGAATGTTTATTTATTAAAAATTTATTTAATTTGATTTTAAATAAATTTTTAATAAAATATTTTTAAATAAGAAAATAAAATGACGAAACTAAATAATAAACAAAGTAAAGGTTTCAATAACTACAAAAAATTTATAAATTTTAGAAAATTTACTAAAAACTAACTAAATAAACTAAAACTCAATAACAATATTTTTTATCATTATCATAAAGTAAATTATTTATTATTAATTGATAACAATAAAATTAAATTAAAAAATCAAATCAAATAAATTTTAATAAATATAAACTAAATAAAAAAATAAAATGACGAAACTAAATAAACTAAATAATAAATAAAGTAAAAGTTCGAGTAACTAAAAATATTTATAAATTTTAGTAAATTTACTAAAAACTAACTAAATAAACTAAAAGTGAATAAAATTATTTCTATTGTTAATAAAGTAAATTTTTATTATAAACAATTTCGATTAAATGAAATTAAATTAAAAAATCAAATTAAATAATTTTTGTCATAAATGAACAAAATAAAAATAAAGAAACAAAATAAAAATAAAGAAAAAAAAATTTAAAAAAAATAAAATAAATAATAAAAAAGTAAATAAAAAAATATTTTAAAAATTCATTAAAATAAATGAAATAGAAAAATATAAATAAAAATAAATTTCTCCAACTAGTAAACTACATTTCTGAGTATATGTCACATGTCATAAAATTGAAATGCAATAAATATTCTTGTACATTTAGTTAATTAATTTTTTTTTCACCAGAAATAAGTGAGAGAGAGACTATACTCTAGCATTAAACAATCAAGAGACTGTATATTATAAAAATAGGTGAATCACTTATTGGAAAATTTAAATAAATAATTGTTTTAATAATAAACCAAGGGAACGAGATTACTAACGAGTAGTCTCGTTTCCTTGGATTATTATTAAAACAATTAATTACCAAGAAGAACTTGAATAAGAAGTAAAGAAAAAAAAATTAATACAATTATTCTATTTTTTTATAATTATAAATCGATATATATATATATATATATATATATATATATATATATATATATATATATATATATATATAGTTAAATTTTTATTTTCTGTTCTTTCTTCTTAATTCAATTTTTATCTTTCTTTGAATTAATTTAATTTTACCTTTTATCTTTTTTTAAATTAATTTAATTTTGCCTTTTATATTTTTTCAAAATAAATTTAATTTTACCATTCATTTGTTTTTAAAATAATCTAATTTTATCTTTGTTTGTTAATAATTAATTTGGTTTCTTCAAATTAATTGTAAATTTTTTTAATTTTTGAAATATAATATATTCTTTTTTGTTTCCTTTACTTGGACTGATCGTTAAATTTTTTTATTTTATTAAGAAAAGAGCGTGTGATAGAATTATTTTTTTTTTTACAATTTTTAATTCTTTTTCTTTAAAGTACATTTTATCTGCGCACGTGTCCTTAATTTTTAAATTAATTAAATTTTTATTAAATTGATTAAAGGACATAAATTAAAATCAATTTTATAAAATATTCGATAAAATTAGATAAAAATGATTAAATGACGCTATTAATTTCTCCACCTGAGAACGCCAAGGTCACCACCAGGTGGCGGGGGAAATTCCAAGAAATATTGTTCTTTCTTGGAATTTCTCCTGCCACCTGCTGGTGACCTTGACGTTCTCAGGTGGAGAAAACACGTCCATATTGAATCTTTTGTTTCTAATTCTCTTTATTCTACACCAGTTTATTCTTAATAAAAAATTTTTTAATAAAAATATTGACAAACGTAGAAAGAATTATTTTTAGATCGAGTTTGAAATTTGAAAGTAACTCAATTTTTGTTTTTTATCTTTTTCTTTAATTTTGAATTTTTTAATGGAATTTTTTTTAAAATTAACTCAATTTTTAGATTTTTTTTATTAATTTCGAATATGTAAAATAAAATTTAATGGAATTTTTGAAAAATTTAAAAATTTTTCTTCAACTCACTTGACTGTTAGAAGAGGTTGAACGAAACGACGGGCATAAGTATCGGTAATTGATCCTCTTGCACTGTGATTAACAATGAAACATACTAAAATAGTTATAATTCCTAACATCACTATTTCTCCAACTAAATAAACTCTGATTAAACCCCCTCCTGATTGACAGTTCCACGTTTCGTCATAATATTTTAAGCATGCGATTCCTATTAATATAATCCTGAAACATCATATTGAAAGGACAAAATTAATAATATATTTTCAAATTTATTTTTATTTATTTATTAAAAAAATTTATTTATTTTTTATATAAATTTCAATGAAATTTCTATAGTAATTTCAATGAGGACTTTCTTATAAGAAAATTTTTTTTTTTTCATATACATGATGCTGTAATATTCAGACAAATTTCCTCACACGCGAAATTTAAATATGAATTATTCATTTCAGTTTTTCATTGTCTACAATTTATACTATGTATGACGAGAAGAATTTTTTTATTCCAATTTTTTTTGTCTTTTTGAAACATAGTTCATTAATTTTTATTCATTTTATAATTCACTGACTCAATAGGAGAAAAAAATTGAATACAAAAATTTGCATATTATTATTAATTAAAAAAAAAAAAAAAAAAAAAAATCAAGTTTAAACAAATTTTGGGAAATATAATTACATTATACTATATATTTAATAAATATATTATAATAATAATAATAACAACAATAACTATAATGATAATAATAAAAATAAAAAAAAATTTCAAAGAAATAGAAAATTTTTGTGACCAATTTTGCGAGCAATTTTGTTAATAATATTTATATGGATTTATTAAAAATGATTTTAACTAACGAAGGTTGATATATAATAAGAAATATGTGATTTCAACGAGAAACATTATAATGACATACAAAATGCAAATCAACATAGAAATTGAGTTTTATCTTTGGTCTTGGCCTTTTATTCCCAGTAAAGAAACCGGTTTTGAAGACACTAAGTCATAAAATTCTTTTTTTTTTCTCTCCTCTTTTTTTTAAGATGTTAACGTGCTCTTAATATCCTTGATATCACTTTTGATATTAACTTTTTTTTATAGACCTTGAAATATATAATTCTATTTCTTTTTTAACTTTTTTCTTAAAATTTGAAATTTGTTACTTTTTAAAAAAAAAAAAAAAAAAGATTCATTTCTCACCAAGTAATACGAATGAATATTTCAAATAGTCCCGGATATACAAGATCGTCAGTAGCAGCTAACCACTTCCTTCCAAATAGCATTAACGCCGGCATCTCTTCCTTTAATTAAAATAAAAAAAGAAAATTAGTAATCAAAAAGAAAAATAATAATAATAGTGAAAGATAATAAAAATAATAATAATAATAATAATAATAATAATAATAATAATAATAATAATAATAAAAAATAATAACAATAATAATAATTAAAAAAATAAATAAATAAATAAAAATCATGAGTTTTACTCAATTTTTGAAATAATTGAATTAAATTTCAATTGAATTGAATTAAATTATTGTTTTAGGGTTTCTAATAAAAATAATAATAATTATTATTATTATTATAATTTTCAACACGTGTCAACTATTTTCCAATATACATGCGCGGAGAAAAAGAACTCACCGCTCATAAATTCAAATCACTATAATTTTAGTATGTCTCAAAAATTCAAATAAAAAAAAAAAATTTACTTCGTAATCAATTTAAAAAAAAAATTTATTTTATTAACCGGAAATGTATGATTGATTCACATGCAATTTTGCGCACACACGTGAAGCTATTTCAGCAAATTATTTTCATTGCAGGAGAAAAAAAAAGAATATGATTTTACAGTTGTGATTTTTTTTTAAATTGTTTCCAGCATAATTATATACTTTGTAAAAATAAATAAGAAAACAAAATTAGAGTGTAAATATTGCGAAACGAGAATTATACAAAAAGAATGACCTTTCACTTAGGTTTCTTTCTTATTAGATAATTTTTTAATTTTTTAATTGTACGATTTTTTCTCGTTGGGTAAAATATATCATTTTACCTGCAATTATATATTTTCGGTATAAATTCTCCTTGTGTGTGAGTGAGTAAGTGTGTGAGAATTGTTTAAAAGTAAAAGTGATTTAAAATTTTTACTCTCCTTTTTTTGTCTCCTTGAAAATGTGCATATGGAGACGTGTGGTCTACTTATTAAAAAAAATTCTCATGTTATGTAGAGAGAAATGCTTAATTATGTTCAGTAATTTACTGTATTTGTATATAAATAAATTTTTAAGATTAATTTTTTTAAACCTAATTTTTTAAGACTAATTTTATTTGAAGTCTAATTTTTATTAAAACAATTTACATTAGTCCAAATATTTACTAAATTTAGATTTCAAATTCGAAAATTGATTCAATTATTCTTTTAACAAAATTTTAATAACATTTCACGAATGAATACCAATTATTTTCTAAAATTTTAATATTTAAATCTTTCGAAACAATTCAATTATTTTAAATAGAAAAATCTTTGTAAAAATTTCACTGAAAGAATTCAATTTTTTTCTTAATTCGCGTTATAAAATTCTTCAAAAGAATTCAATTATTTTCCAAAATTTTAATAATATTTCATGAAAGAATTCAATTTAAAAAAAATTTTTAATAATATTTTTCGAAAAAATTCAATTATTTTCAAAAAATTTAAATACATCTTTCGAAACAATTCAAAATTTAATTTTTAAAGAGTAAAATTCTTTGGAAAAATTCAACTATATTTTTAATGCAATTTGAATAAAATTTCATAAAAGAATTCAATTTTTTTTTATTTATAAAAATATTTTTCAAAAAAATTCAATTATTTTCTAAAATTTTAATAAAATCCTTTGACACAATTCAATTATATTTGTAAATCGTAAAATTCAATTATATTCAAAACAATTTCAGGAAAGAATTCAATATTTTTCAAAAAAATTCAATTATTTTCTAAAATTTTAATACATCTTTCAAAACAATTCAAAATTTAATTTTTAAAGAGTAAAATTCTTTGCAAAAATTCAACTGTATATTTAATACAATTTGAATAAAATTTCATAAAAAAATTCAATTTTTTTTAATTTTTAAAAATATTTTTCAAAAAAATTTAATTATTTTTTAAAATTTTAATAAATCCTTTGACACAATTCAATTATTTTTGTAAATCGTAAAATTCAATTATATTCAAAACAATTTCAGCAAAGAATTCAATTTTTTTCTAAAATTTTAATAAAATTTCATGAAAAAATTCAATTTTTAAAAATATTTTTCAAAAGAATTCAATTATTTTCTAAAATTTTAATAAATCCATTGACACAATTCAATTATATTTGTAATTTGTAAAATTCAATTATATTTCAAACAATTTCAGAAAAGAATTTAAATATTTTTTCTTAATACGTTATAAAAAATTTCAAAAGAATTCAATTATTATATAATATAGTGCTGTTATTTTATTTGGATTTATAATCCAAACAAAATTTTATTTTTATCAAACAATATAATATCGCACTAAGAGAATTCAATTATTTTCTAAAATTTTAATAACATTTCATGAAAGAATTCAATTTAAAAAAAATTTTTAATAATATTTTTCGAAAAAATTCAATTATTTTCTAAAATTTTAATAAAATTGCCTATATAGGAACCCGCAATGAAATAAAAATTTAGTTCGTCAATTTAAAATCTAAAGTAAAATTCACTTTCTTGAAATGAAATTCCATGTATCTAAAAATTTGTTTTTAAAAAAATAGTTCGGTGTAAATAAAATTCTTTTTTTTCCACACTTTTACAGAGGGAATAAAAAGAAAAATATTTTACAAAATCTGATCATGAAAATCCCGTTTACGCAAAACAAACAAGTATGTAAAGTGCATAAATGTGTTTTTTTTTTCGTCACATTCGTTTCTCTTTTTTTCTCTCTTTTCTTTCTTATAATTTCAAAGGCATTATTTCTATGTTGTCAGTGCAACATTATTTTCATGGAGAAGCAATATCTCGGTCAGTTGGAAACACGCGGGAGATAGACCCGTTAGCAATTTATTAACTTGCCAATGTGTCTCTCTCTCTCTTTTTCTCTCTCTCTCTCTTACTCTCAAGTTATTATTTCTAGTGACATGGTTCAACTACAAATTACACAATAGTAATAGTAATATAATCATTAACGATTGCACTATTAAATCTCTCGTCAATGTGAGAATATAAAGTTTTCTCATTTCTTATGGACTATAAATCATTTTCTTCTATTTATGTATTTTACATTCAATGTTTATGGCATAAAGATTTTTTTTTTTTTAAACAAAGAGACTGAAAAAATTTACACTTTTATAACGATTTTCTTTTTTGGACAATAAATTTTTTAATCGATGCTTTTTATACTTAAGATTTATATTTTATATTGTACATTGAATAGATTTTTAATTTAACCACTAAAATTTTCGATTAATTCACTATTATACCTATATATAAATATTGTAACTCAATTTTTACTTAAATTTTATTTTTACTTTAATTTTTACTTCAATCAATCAAAACAAATTTTTACTGGCTTGAACAGTTGAACTAAATGTTTACTTTTATAAATAACTGAATTTTTACTTGAATTAAATGAACACGCATAACATAACCCATATTATATTTTTAAATAAGAACCTATTTGGGTTCCTGATGGGTCACTTTTCAAATTCAATTTACTAATTATTTTGTATGAACCTATTTATGGATTCCTATGGGAGCCTATATGAAATTACATGCAGATTCATATGGGAATAAAAGACCGTATAAAACTATAGGAACCTATGGGAACCCATAATATATAATTGAATTAAATGAATACTTAACATAATAACCCATATTATGTATATGTTTTATTATATTTTTAAATAAAAACCTATTTGGGTTCCCATATATGGATCACTTTTCAAATTCAATATATATTCACTAATTATTTTATAGGAACCTATATGGATTTCTATATAGAGACTCATGTGCGGGAATTATTCATTAAAATATAGGAACCTATACGGGAACCCATAATATATTAATCGATATTCTATTTTAAAACAGGAACCTATGTGTGTTGACATATTGGCATTCATATGGGTCTCCTTTCAAATTCAATTCACTAATTATTTTGTATGAATCTGGGTTCATATGGGTTCCTATATGGGAACCTATATGGAATTACATGCAGATTCATATGGGAATTATATGCTTTCCAAATTAAAATCTGTATGGAAACCCAGGAACCTATAGGAATTCATAATACAATAATCCAATAATCGATATTATATTTTTATATAAGAACCTATATGTGTGGTTCTCCTATTGACCCTCGGATGGTTTTCCATATTGATGTGTAATTAAAAAAATACAAATGAGAACCCATGGAACCCATGTGTGTTCCCACAACCCTTAATACCACATATACCTATGTAGAAACTTAAAGGAAAAACTAATTTGGGTGCCTATGGGTTCAAAATGGTGGATCCAATATGGCGGACAATTTTTAAAAAAATCGACTTCAAATTCACTTCTGGTCTTCAGTATTTATTTTGAAATTAAAATTGTATTATCAATTTCAAAGTTATAAAGTAGAAAAAAAATAAAAATAATAATAATAATAGAGCTAATAAGAATAGTAAATATATAAGTATATAGAGATAATAACAATTTATGATGGAAAGTTCATAAAGTTTGATGGGACATTTATGTCTCGTTAGAAAATTTGTAATCGACTCTATTTTAGAATGTTTGCATAATATTTACAGTAATCTACATAATAAAATACAAATGCGTATATAAATATTTTCACCTGCAAAACTTGATATCTATACTAACAATATTAAAGTTCTTTTCTCTCTCTTTCTCTCTGTTTTTCTTTCTCTTTCTCTCTGATTCCTTCAGAGCATCGTAAATAATGTGGTTTCTTGCAACATAGTTGACTACTACTCTGTGTCAGCAGAAATGCAAAATCCAAATCGCTTACGGTACTCTCTTCATGAAATAAGAATTATATATTTATCAAGAAAAATTTTTACTCTTTTAAAAAAAAAAATGAATTTTCCACTAAATTTATTTATTATTTACAGCAATATTCTTGTATTATTAAAGAATTTTCTTCCTGTCTTTCTGTAAATAATAAGTATTTTATAATTTACTCATAATTACATATGATTTAATTTTTTTATATAAATTTAATTTATATTTTATTTTAATGTAAATTATTATTTTTTTTTTTTTAATTAATACAATAATTATAAATTATAATAAT